GTTAAGGTTGAATATGAATCTGTTGAAGGAGAGGAAGTCTTAATACTTATAATGTCATTAGTGGCAACAGGTGCTAATACACCAACCGTAGAATACTGTAATGAGTTATGGAAAGGGTTGACACCAAAATTTTTAGTTCAGAGAGATTTGCAAGCGTATGCAAATATGCAACCAGTGGCAATTAGAACTAAGCAGAAAATTGTACCTCTAACCTGCGTGACTTCTATAGCTAGTCATACAATTCTATATAAAATGGGGATTACACAGGGATGTACAGATAAAATGATTTTTTTGGATACCAATTTACCCTGGCCAGCAACTGATTGCATGGTATGGTATGGTATTATGGAGATCACTTATATACCTACCTTCCACAATATTGGCAAGGTGTTTGCGCCCCTTATTGGATACCAAGGAAAGTGGTATTTGGGGGTATAGACGCTCCAATTACATGGCCAGCGACTTTACCTGAGGATGAAAATGCTGAGTTGGTAGAGAAGGAGGAAATTATTATTTATGAGAATATGGATTCGCAAGTGAATTCTATTCACCCCATAGCGTCTAATTTGTGGTACAAAACCCTTAAGCAGAAAGTTAGAAAATGGACTCAAAATTCATGTTATGCGTGTTCACTAATTTATTTCCTTATTGGGCGATCCCACTTCAGGGGTCAGAATGATTGCCAACACTATGCATTCTTGCTTATCAGTATGTATTGAACACTCATCCTGAGATGGGATCACAATCAGTCAGACCGATAATTTTGCCGAATAACATTTACATAGGCAAAAACAATAACATGATCATCAAGAATGATGGGATTCTTCATAAGATGTCTCAATATGTTATTTATACTAACATCTCTGTAAGACAGGAAAATGGTATAGATTTGCATAAGGTTCATTCAACCATATTTGCGATTCCGGAACATTTTCCATCTGTTACTAGATGTCCAATCTTCTATAATAAACATGTAATTCAAGTACCTAGTGATTTATCAATTGTACCCACTAAAGTATCAGCTATGGTAAATGCATCTTCTGTATTTGATGTGTGCGTAAAGGGAAGACAGAGAGAGAGAGGAGTTTTCAGCAATAGTTATTGGATTTCTGAGAGCTTCTCAATGTATCATGATGTTTAAAGATATGGGGGGAAAAATATCGCATTTCAAAAGTGAGAACATTACCGATTCCAGGTTTTTTTTGGTGTTGTGGAGGTAATATATTGACTACTCCACTATTCAGGGGAGTATGTGGAGCCTGTACTTTAAATGACCTTATCTATGTGGTTCAGCCTGTTCAATTTGTCAATACAAACATTACGGGACGATTTAGAAGGGAGACATCAGAACTTATGGGATATGTACATTTAAAGAATACGAATCCGATTGATTTGGCTACTAGATACAACGCCATACCTCAAGATTTTAGATTATATTTACACGTACTCAGTTCGTTTTTAAGACTATTTTTGGAAATATGGAATTACAATATTCCAATCATTATCTCATAGCATTGACACGTCATGATGTTGCTAGAGTGGCTAATGCAACTGTCATGGGTTTTCAAGCTTTTGGTTCTGAGTTGGCCCTCATTAGACAATATGCAATTGATAATTGCATAGCATTGGATGCTATTACGGCTGCTCAAGGGGGTGTGTGTGCAATTGTAGGAGGGGATACATGTTGTACATACCTACCATCAGAATCAGAAGGTCTTGGGAATTTAACTAAAGCTATGGGTAATATTAGAGACATACAGGAAGGCATTAAGCGTACGAATAGAGATGCAAAGATTGTGGGGGGATATGGTAATTTGAACGCTGTGGAAGTCTTTTCAAGGTTTTTTTGTGGTAATTCAATAGGAACATGGATGGCAAGCATTCTAGGTCCCCTAGTGGCCATAGTACTTATTGTAGCCATAGTTATGGGGTGTTGTTAACCCATTTTCCGGGGATTGATTTTGAGATCTGTACAAACGATTACTAACATGCCAGTGATTACAGCTAGAGATGTATCAGCCAATATTAATGCGAGGAGGGAGAGTACTAATTCTGCTTCTATATCATCGTATTCCAGTTTAGTGTCCATTAATAATGTTGATTGAGGAATGGGGAATGTTAAGTTGGAACTGTATAACGTGGAACTTAAGCTTTACAGGATTGAAGATGTGGAAACAAGACTACCTCATTCGAAGAGATAGCACCCCAAGTGACCAGAGAAAACCTTGGGGTTCCTCTGAATGAACATGGATGAAGAAGACTGACGTTATTTTTTATTTATATATATTCATTTGACCATATTATAATATCCATGTAACTTAAAAAGGGTCATGTATCATTGTATTTGTATGGATGATGTCATGATGTTAAGAATTTATTTCTATGTATGTTTTTCTTAGTATCATGTCTAAGAGGATGGGTATATTTGAAAATTGTGTATACAAGGGGGTCATTTAAAAAAATGGGGATGGTCTATGTGGGATTTTTCCTTATATATCAGTAAGGTTTTATCTACATAGATTTTTAGCAGGAATATATAGTAGTTAGTATTATCATGTATCTATCTTTTACTCAAACTGAGACCATAGCCGGTTTGAGAGGTTTGATAGCGCATGAGATAGATGACTGAGAATTTATACCTTTGTTGATTAAATATATTGAGAATCTGGTTGGATTCAGGTATAGAAGGTAGAGAGGGGTGAATTCTCAGTTATCTAGCATAGTTTAGTTTATACTAATCATATATATACTACTGATTGGAGAACATTTTATTTTATATCAAGTTATATGTGAATTGTTAGGGTTAAGGTTCGATTCCAGGCTGTATCACAACCGGCTGTCCCATAGGTCGGCGCACAATTGGCCCAGCGTCGTCCGGGTTTGGCCAGTGTAGGCCGTCATTGTAAATAAGAATTTGTTCTTAACTGACTTGCCTAGTTAAATAAAGGTAAAATAAATAAAAATAATAATGTTATATCTGAGTAATGTTACTTACCCAAAAGATAAAAAAAGAGAAGGATTGTTATGATGTCATTTCGTAGTGTTGTGTGAACCAGGTTAAAGTTAGTAGATAAGCGATTCTGAGCGCCGCACAGTCTGAATACCAAGGATTCCATTATGTCGAGGGAGATTACTGAGGTTGATCTTAGAATGATTGATGGACATGATATACTGACTTGGGGTACAAGGTAATAACATCAAAGAAGGGAGTGCCCATTGAGGGTTAACAGATGTTCTTGAAGAAACGTGTAACAGAAAGTATATAAAATGAGATATTTTCTTTGTTCAGTAGTTCGGAATAGCTAGACCGACTATTAAACATTTGTATTAACTTTCCACATAGTTGTCTAAGTATATTCTTGCATCCTTAATTACTTGATACCCGAGAAACTCATCATAACAGGTGGCATCCTATGAAAATGCCACGTTGAAAGTCACTGAGCTCTTCAGTAAGGCCATTCTACTGCCAATGTTTGTCTATGGAGATTACATGGCTGTGTGCTCAATTTTATACACCTGTCAGTAACGGGTGTGGCTGAAATAGCTGAATCCACAAATTTGAAGGTGTGTCGACATACCTTTCTATATATAGTGTATACAACAATGAAACCCAACTATGTAACATTAACCATTGATACTGCTGACTGAGGAATTTCACATAATTGCGAGGACTCGTTTGCACACATTTACTTTCATTTATTCGCAATAATTCATTATTTCACCCTACAATCATACTCTGCAAAAATTGTTATCCAATACTGAGTGAACAATACAAAGACACAAAAAGTAAGACATATTTATACACTCTATATGTATAAACATTTTTATGAATGATATAAACGAACACCCATTAATTAATCAAAACACTGTTACATGCATTAACAAATTACTTAAACCACGGGAATGTAATTGCTCTCAGATAACATTGTGTTTTTAATTAAAGCCCCCATGCAGTCTTTTTTAATTTTTAAATCATCACTGTATGTCTAATAAATCACTGTGCGTGTTTATTGAAAATAACTCCAAATTATATATTTTGTCATTTATTTCCCTGTGCCTCCTTTTGCCATTGAAATGCTCAGTCTGATCGTGTGGGTGTGTAGAAAAAAATGAATATATATATATTTTTTAAACAGCTCTTACACAAAAAAGACATTATCATCATTTTCAAAATGTCTGAGTGTAATTTCGACCTTATAGTGTAGAAATATCATAAAAAACCAGGAAAATCACGTTAACTGCGCTGCCCATTTAAAGGCTCATTAAGGCACAAAATCATCCTCTATGCTGACATTATGCAAACTTGCCCTTGACTTGACAATAATTGTGCAGTAAAGCAGGGCGATTGGCACTGGGACTTTTTAGTGATTCATTGAGATATTACTTTTACTGGATTTACTTTGGCTAATCTCTAAAGAAACTACCACTGGCAAAGAATCCTTCCGCTGCTCATAATAACTTATAATTCAGACTGATACATTATTGGAATATCATTTGGAGACATCTCTCAATTTTTTTCTGAACATAATACTACCTATGCCAACTCTCTAGAGCCTTAGTAAAAACATTTTTTAAGAGGCAACCATCCAATACTTGGCTTTGCTTTGTCACAACGATATCCATCCATTCTTCTGTTGGTTCTAGAATGGACAGATGGGCTTAGCCCTCAAGACCGTGACAAGGTAACCGTGTTTTTGTGCAGACCTGGCCATCTATGGACAACATAGATGTATATCTATGAGGAAAGCTGTCCATCAGGAGACATCTGTAGAACCTTAAGTACAACTTCTCTTTGTACTGTTGACCTAGATGTGTACATGGCCCACTGTAGACAAATAACTGACAAGTCATCAGCTGGTTGGTTGTGGCGTGAGCCACACAGATATCCTGACTGGCAGTGGAATGAGGGAACAATCAAAGATTTAGGGGAGACAGGACAGTTGTGATTCATGTTGATCTTCCTTGTCCTAGTCATCCCGTGTCCCTCTCTCTTCCAATCACTGCTGAGGATCTACAGAGAGGGGCGTGGTGGTGGGCGGGTAGGGGGTGGGGGCAGGAAGCCTCGTCCTGGAGGAGGGGCCTGAGGGGGAGGGGGTAGAGAGCCGGTTGGGGATGCAGGTGGTGGAGGGGAGGGGGGGCACATAGGAGGAGGAGGAATATACAGAGTGCTTGGAGGAAGGGTTCGAGTTGGAGGTGGAGTGTAAGGTGGAGGTGTAATGGTAGGAGGTGGAGAAATTGGAGGTGGAAGAGGAGTGGTAGAAAAAGGAGGGGATGTTGAGGGCAGTGTGGAGGTGGAGGATGGAAAAGGGGATGCTGGGGGGCTGTTGGGGGGAGGGGGGAGCATGCCTTGGGGAGGCGGTGGGCTGCATCCGCTTGGAGGGGTGTAGATGGGGGCTGAGTGATGGTTGTAGTGGGGGTAGCGAGGAGGAGGATTGGACTTGACCCGGGTGAAGTTCATGCATCGGCCCTGAAACGTAAGAGAGAAACAAGGTTAGAAGAACGCAATGTACTAATTCTGAATCCACTGGTCAGTTGTAGAGGTGGTGTGCTTCATAGTAAAAGGCAATAAAGGTATGCATTATCCAGTCTCCATACATATCTCAAGTCCCGTTTATACCTGCCGCTAACATGCGTCCTTATCTTGCCCGTTTATACTTATAAGATCTGATCAAAATCAGTTCCCAATGAGTCTTTTAATCAACTACACCGGTCTACAATTGTGGGCACAATCAGAATGAGGACAAGATCAGGGCAAATTACGCATGTTCGAACCAGGTATAAAAGTGGCTTAAGAGACACAGAGCTCATTATTCAAATGAGGAAAGTCAGTCACATTGTCACGCCCTGGCTCTGGGACTCTGTTATATTGAGCCAGGGTGTGTTGTTTCTATGTGTTTTGTGTTCTAGGTTGATTATCTAGCTCATGTGTTTCTGTGTTGGCCGGGGTGGTTCTCAATCAGAGGCAACGAGTATCAGCCATACTTAGGCAGCCTGTTTTCCACAGTGTTTTGTGGGATCTTGTTCCGTGTTGGTTTTGTATTGTAACCAAGGACTTCACGTTATCGGTTTGTTGTTTTGTTCGTGTGGTGAATCTAAAATAAAAGTATGTTCACTCATCACGCTGCGCATTGGTCCACTTCTATCGACGAGCGTGACACACATTGATGTTCCACAGACACCAGTGACAAGACACACATCACAGGAGGTTGGTGACACCTTAATTGGGGATGACGTAATGGCTGGAGCAGAATCAGTGGAATGGTATCAAATACATCAAACACGTTTGATGCCATTCCATTCGCTCCGTTCCATCCATTATTATGAGCCGTCCTCCCCTCAGCAGCCTCCACTGACACACATGTATGTTATTTTATTGCTTTGTCAGTTGCGCTGGTCAGTTGAATTAGCTGGAGGCATAACAATGATGTACTGTTTGTTAGAAACTGAATGGGACTATCATTTGTTTTTCAGCAGTACAATGACCCAACACACCTCCAGGCTGTGTAAGGGCTATTTCACCAAGAAGGAGAGTGATGGAGTGCTGCATCAGATGACCTGGCCTCCACAATCACCCAACCTCAACCCAATTGAGATGATTTGGGACGAGTTGGACCGCAGAACAAGCGCTCAGAATTTGTGGGAACTCCTTCAAGACTGTTGGGAAAGCATTCCTCATTAAGCTGGTTGAGAGAATGCCAAGAGAGTGCAAAGCTGTCATCAAGGCAAAGGGTGGCTGCTTTGAAGAATCTCAAATCTCAAATATTTTTTGATTTGTTTAACACTTTTTTGGTTACTACATGATACATGTGTTATTTCATAATTTTGATGTCTTCACTATTATTCTACAATGTAGAACATAGTAAAAATAAAGAAAAACCCTGGAATGAGTAGGTGTGTCCAAACCTTTGACTGGTACTGTAGGTAACTGCCAAAATAAAGGAAACACCTAAATAAAGTGTCTTAATAGGGCGTTGGGCCACCACGAGCCAGAACAGCTTCAATGCACCTTGGCATAGATTCCACATGTTTTTGGAACTCTATTTGAATGTCTACAGCTGACTACCAGAATTTTGATATCTTATAAGGATGTTATGTAATCTATCACAAGACATCTAGTGTTTGTTTAGTTTATTAATTCGACCATTTAAAAAACAAGCACACATAAAACTTGAAAAGCCATACATGCACATGAGTTAAATCATCGAGGATAACACACAATAAAGTCTGGGACTTATTTCCAGTGTAGTCCTCTTGAGACAAGATGGCTAAGCAAGATCCAACACGGTTGCACACAGTATGACAGCGAGATAAAACATAAAAACAAATAAGAAGAACATCTATCTCATCATTGCAATTACATCGTAAGGTACATTCAAATGGGCACAGAAGACATCAGTTTTTTACTTTATTTTTAAAGCTGCCTAGAGAGGACATCGTTTTTATGGGCAGAGGCAATTCCACTCTGAGGCTCCAGTATACAAGAAAGTACCTTTCCCAGCATTACTCCTGAACCTGTATAAGCACACATTAGCAACACCTTATCAGGTGCTGTGATTGTGTGCATCCCTAACATGGGGAAAGTAATCATAGATATCTGGGCGCAGAACCATAAATACTTGTTATAAAATGTTAGTAAGCTCTATGCTAAGTATGCTCCCCAACATACAGTTGAAGTCGGAAGATTACATACACCTTAGCCAAATACATTTAAACTCAGTTTTTCACAATTCCTGACATTTAATCCTAGTAAAAATTCCCTGTCTTAGGTCAGTTAGGATCACCACTTTATTTTAAGAATGTGAAATGTCAGAATAATAGTAGAGAGAATGATTTATTTCAGCTTTTATTTATTTCATCACATTCCCAGTGGGTCAGAAGTTTACATATACTCAATTAGTATTTGGTAGCATTGCCTTTAAATTGTTTAACTTGGTTCAAACGTTTCGGGTAGCCTTCCACAAGCTTCCCACAATAAGTTGGGTGAATTTTGGCCCATTGCTCCTGACAGAGCTGGTGTAACTGAGTCAGGTTTGTAGGCCTCCTTGCTCGCACACGCTTTTTCAGTTCTGCCCACAAATTTTCTATAGGATTGAAGTCAGGGCTTTGTGTTGGAGATTAGGAGACAGCGGTTAACTGTATCAAAGGCCTTCTGTAGGTCAAGCAGTACCATTCCACAGAGATTTCCCTCATCAATCTCTTTCCTGATGAAGTCAGTCAAGTAAAGTAGATATGAATCAGTTGAGTATGAGGATGTTATACTGAGGACAGACACAGGCCTATAATTCCCAGGGCCAGACTTTGTCCCCTTCTTATACAGAGGTATAACTTCAGCTTGTTTCATGTCCTTGGGAAAGATGCCTTGTTCAAGAGAGAGATTAACAATATGGGCAATTTCCTCAGCAGAATCTCTAAGAAACATTGCAGGAATATTATCCAGGCCTGTGGCTTTGGAGCATTTAAACTCTGCTAGCGTACTGGCTACTGCTTTTGCATACATTTGCGAAATATAAAGAGTTTGGCTCGGCATAATACTTATTGACTTGGACGTTTCAATACAAACCAGAACTGGTGGGCAGCTTGCTAACCAGTTTAATGGCAACAGAAGTTTTTAAAAAACCAAGTTAAATTCATTGGCAACCATTCATATACCATCTCCCCCCTGATGTTCAGTCCAATACTGTTTAGTTTGTTTTTGGTAGTACTACTACAGCCTAGTTTCTTAAAATGATTTCCAAAGCTTTTTAGGGTCATTTTTGTTCTCAATGATTATCAGTAAAGTAACCCCTCTTAGCTTCATCCATCCTGCTCTGTGCTTCATTTCTGTGACGTTTGTATAGGAGAAAAATCAGGCTGCTCTTGAGAGTTCTTACATTTCTTAAAGACTGATGATTAAACCAAGGGCTAGATCTCTGCTTTACTCTGACCCGTCTAAGGGGAGCCACCACATTCACCACATCAAGGAATCTACATTTAAAGGCTTCCCAGGCACTGCCTACCCGTACACTATCCAGCACAAGTGACCAGTCAATTTTACCCACTTGCTCCCTAAACATTTCAACACAGTATTTTTTGAGTCCTGTGATTCTAAAAGTTTTGTGACACTTAAATATATCTTTAAAAATCCTCCTTGTAATAAAATGATCACTGATTCCATAGACTATTACTCCACTCTGCAATATTTTGGATTTATCAGACACCAATATTAAGTCAATCGTACTTTGCACTGTTTCACATACCCTGGTGGGACCTTTTATAATTTGGGTCAGAGCAAATGATCTACAGAAGTGCATAAATACATTGTGGGTTGGGCTATCCTTTTTGCAGACATCAGTATTGAAATCCCCTAACAAAATTATTTCCTTCACCAGGGAATCATTACAGTGACAACCCAATTTCGAGACCTTTATAGAATGCATTCTGATTGGGCGGCCTGTAACACACCCACAACAAAAATCGGCTTGTTTTTGGGAAGGAAGATGTCCAGCCAGACAATCTCCAGATCATCGATTAAATCCAATCTGACGTTATAAGCAATGTCCGATCTTAGAAAGGTATACAATGCCTTCGGAAAGTATTCAGACCCCTTTACTTTTTCCACATTTTGTTAGGTTACAGCCTTATTCTACAATTGATAAAATAGTTTTTTCCCCCTCATCAATCTACACACAATGCCCCATAATGAGAAAGCAAAAACAGGTTTTTAGAAATTTTTGCTAATTTATAGTACTTTACTCAGTACTTTGTTGAAACACTTTTGGCAGCGATTACAGCCTTGAGTCTTCTTGGGTATGACACTACAAGCTTGGCACAACTGTATTTTGGGACTTTCTCCCATTCTTCTTGCAGATCCTCTCAGGCTCTGTCAGGTTGGATGGGGAGTGTTGCTGCACAGCTATTTTCAGGTCTCTCCAGAGATGTTAGATCGGGTTCAAGTCCAGGTTCTGGCTGGGCCACTCAAGGACATTCAGAGACTTGTCCCGAAGCCACTCCTGCATTGTCTTGGCTGTGTGCTTAGGGTCGTTGTCCTGTTGGAAGGTGAACCTTCACCCCAGTCTGAGGTTCTGAGCGCTCTGGTGTAGGTAATTCATCAAGGATCTCTCTGTACTTTGCTCCGTTCATCTTTGCCTCGATTCTGACTAGTCTCTCAGTCCCTGCCGCTGAAAAACATCCCCACAGCATGATGCTGCCACCACCATGCTTCACTGTAGGGAATGTGCCAGATTTCCTCCAGACGTGACGCTTGGCATTCAGGCCAAAGAGTTCAATCTTGGTTTCATCAGACCAGAGAATCTTGTTTCTCATGGTCTGAGAGTCTTTAGGTGCCTTTTGGCAAACTCCAGGCAGGCTGTCATGTGCCTTTTACTGAGGAGTGGCTTCCGTCTGACCACTCTACCACAAAGGCCTGATTGGTGGAGTGCTGCAGAGATGGTTGTCCTTCTGGAAGGTTCTCCCATCTCCACAGAGGTACACTAGAGCTCTGTCAGAGTGACCATCGGGTTCTTGGTCACCTCCCTGACTAAGGCCCTTCTCCCCCGATTGCTCAGTTTGGCCGGACGGCCAGCTCTAGGAAGAGTCTTGTTGGTTCCAAACTTCTTCCATTTAAGAATGATGGAGGCCACTGTGTTCTTGGGGACCTTCACTGCTGCAGAAATGTTTTGGTACCCTTCCCAGATCTGTGCCTGGACACAATCCTGTCTCGGAGCTCTACGGGCAATTCATTCAACCTCATTGCTTGGTTTTTGCTCTGACATGCACTGTCAACTGTGGGACCTTATATAGACAGGTGTGTGCCTTTCCAAATGATGTCCAATCAATTAAATTGACCACAGGTGGACTCCAATCAAGTTGTAGAAACATCAAGGATGATCAATGGAAACAGGATGCACCTGAGCTTAATTTTGAGTCTCATAGCAAAGGGTCTGAATACTTATGTAAATAAGGCATTTCTGTTTTATATTTTCATAAATTTGCAAACATTTCTAAAAACCTGTTTTCGCTTTGTCATTATGGGGTATTTTTGTTTGTTTTTAATCCATTTTAGAATAAGGTTGTAATGTAACAAAAGTCAAGGGGTCTGAATACTTTCCGAAGGCACTGTATATGCCCCCACCGTTCTGATTCCAATCCTTCCTGACAACAGAGTAATTGCCCTTCTCAATTTCTGAGTCACAAACAGATGAATCCCACCATGTCTCTGTAAAACATATGTCACCCACCACTGATTTGCGAACCAACAGGCATATCTCATCAATCTTTGTTAGTAGGCTTCGGACGTTTAAGTGCACAAAATGTAAACCTTTCTTCCCAAAGGCCTCGTTGAATTCCTGATCCACTTGTAACTCGCCTCCCGCTGCACTGCCATCCTCCGGCTGCACTGCCTCCAGGGGCCTCTCTGCTGCTACGGAGCACCCCTCCTCATGTACGCGCATTGCCAGCTCACCTTCCACTGCTCCGTCGTCCTCACCACCGCATCCCCTGTCTCTCGCCTCTGGTGGCCTGTGCGCTACTGTGGACCCCCCCTCCGTCCTATGCGAGTCCTCTGGTCCCACTCCACCTTTGATGCTCACACACCCCGCGGATACAGCACACCGACAGCAAAGGTAAGTTTCATTGACCCCATGCCCAAAGCTAGGATCGCTGCATTTTAGATGAATCAACTGCGCACATTCCAAACATACCAGAGCTTTGCTGTTACTGTTAACCCAACGTTCGCAGGAGGTGCATGGGTGCATAGGCCGTTTGATGGTGTTCGTGATAAACTGAGGTGGAGTGCATTGATGGATATCACCCGATAGGAGAAGGCATAGAGTTATTATAAGATATCCACAATTAATTTGAGATTTCAGACTGGCCTTGGATGATCGTTTTGGTTTGTGCCAAGGTCTAATGAATGTTTGGTATATTACATTCCTTCCAAATCCGAAGTGCTGGATGCCGTCAGAAGTGTTGGCGTTGCGGAGAATTTGCAGTTCTTTCATCTAGATGCAGATGCAATTATTTCCAGTGATGTTTAAACCAAACACATCAAGTAAAAGTGCTGCCACCATGCCAAACCTTCCAATCGCCATCTTGCACACACTTTTAGTGGCCCTTTTAGGTACAGCAGATTATCACAGGTGTCTGTAATTATCTCTGGCCCTCTGTGCGGCCTTATCACATGGAAGATATTAAATAATAAAATAAGATGATTTTAAAATAAAAAATAGAATGACAAAGATGTAAAACATTATCCTAAATATAAACCATCAACTTAGTGAATACCATTGCTGTTTGATATGAGGGTATCAGCATTAAATAGCCTTTAAAAAATGCACACACTTTTATTCATGTTACTATGTCAATATGCATCAAACTGGTGGCATTTGTGGAAAAGGTAAATAGTTGGAAGAGTTGCAGAGTTCCTTGAAAATATTGCCATTGATTATTTCATTAATTAGGCAATTTTCTCTTGAACATATGGTCTATCTACTAGAAACTCATGGACACAGATATACAAAATGAAGCTATAAATGTTTAAAAAAGTTATTCAAGTATAAATTACCAAAGTTACGCTAGATTGCCATAGGTTTTCTGATAATTACCAAAATTACTGAAGATTCCAGTAAATTTGATAAATGACCAGTAGCTTTGCAACCCTAATGGCACCACATCATAATGTTTTCTTTGTCTCTAAGTGAAAAACACTACAGCCCCTCATTAGAGCCCCAACACAGGGTCAGCGGAGGAAGCAGGGGCACAGCTCTCTCCCTACTGGCCCTGTCAGGGCACTGGAACATTGGATAAAGGGCATCGGACTGAGTAGGTAATGTCCAGAGGCAGTATTGCTTGTATCCCGACCAGATTCTGTCCCTCGTAGCGGCATTGATTTTGGGGGAACTAAAAACAATGCCTTGACTTGAGATCTTAATTGCAACCAGAGCAGCCTTGTTTACTGAGAGTCAACAAGAAAACTAGAGCTCCGCCTAGCTTCCTGTGTACTAATGAACAGCTTTCTGAAGATGAGGTTTCACTCCTACTGTTAATTATGAATGGCTTAGTAGTGATTTAAGCCTGCAGTCATCTATAGTGTGATAGGTAATAGTCTTATTTTTTTAAAGCTTTTTTCTCTTGTGAGATATTATTTCCTCTCATGTGCTATCCTTTGCTGAAGGCAATGTCATGAGTCATGACAACGTTCCACATTTTCTGATGTCTCTATGTCATTTCCACTGTCTCTCGTCACCATCTTACAGTGGAGAGTGCAGGCCAATGGAGCTACAGTAAACAGTTCTACCTAAGAAGACTGCATTGGTCTTTATGTGTGCAATCAGTGTCCCAAACAGATAGCACCTTTCTAAGCGTGTACTGTAATATCCTCACATTCTCATCAACAAGTTACACAATAAACCACATGGCGTTATATACACGGAAAAAACAAATCAATCAGCCACATTACACAACATCCTGTGATTTGCCAAAATCTTTGGAAAATGCCAAAATCTTTGCAGAAATCTTTGTTTGGACCCATCCCTCAGATGACATGATTGAAGAACTTTGCTGACAATGCACTTCAGCTCCATCCACCCTGAAAAGTTAAACATTAATTCAGGTTTAACTACCTGTGAAGGAGGAAGTAGAGTCTACAGAATCAATATTCCTCTTTGTTCTCTCACCCCCCCCCCCCCCCCCCCTCCCCTTACAATCTGACGTCGATGTCCGTGGCCGCACGAAAATCGGTGACGTCAGCACGTTTTATTAAATAAAACCTTGTGTGTTTACAGAGTAATCTGAGTACATACAACCTCCAAACAGGGAGGAAAATAACCCGCACACTAACGACTGCCGATGACGAAATACAATCACACACAACACACAATGAAAGACAGAGGGTTAAATAGGGAAGACAATACAACATAATGGGAAACAGGTGTAGACAATCAAGACCAAACAAGTCAAACACAGAAACATAGATCGGTAGCAGCTAGTACTCCGGGGACGACGAACGCCGAAGCCTGCCCGAGCAAGGAGGAGGGGCAGCCTCGGCTGAATCCGTGACACTGGAAGCACGCTTTCGAATTCCCAGAGGACAGCTTCGGTATTGCTGTTTAACTAATCTACAGCCCAAAAAGACAATTCCCATAGACGGCCCCATAGAGAAGTAAAATTTGAAAATTCCTAATAAGAGACTTTAGTCATCACCTTTGTGCACAAAACATGCATTGAATTATTCAAATAATTGTTGTTGATGCCGTTTTTTCCCCCCATCACTCACAGCCGAAGATATTCAAATGTTATATTCATGCTCTGACATTATGAGCCCAGCTGGAGAGGTGGAAGTGGCGGTTGGTTTGTTTAGCTGTCCACATGCTTGGCACGCTCCCGGAGCTGGCAGAGTTCCCGGAGCATGTTCGCGTGATCCAGCTGTCTGTCCACAGGCGTAGTAATCCCAGTAAAACCAGATCTATGGTGTATGTGAGCGTGAGTAGAGTACGTTGAAAACAATGGTCGGCCATCTTGGACGCTGTGTCCAGTTCTTTTATAGCTCAATGGTCGCAATCCACTGAATCAGAATGGTTTGAACTAGAAACTATTTGGATCCCACTATCGAAGTCTGAGACTCAGAAGCTCACAAGAGTTGTCTGAAGGTAACCCAGTACTGGGTGGTAGAAATGAATAAAAGTGAATATGGGGTGGAATGTGCCAAAACAAAGGGGGTAGAAAAAAATATATATCCTGAGCTTTCTCATATCACTCAGATATAAGAACACTTAAAAACATAATTCCTTTGGATTTATCTGGTTTGCCATGTATGAATGTGTTATTCAATGCGTTTCTATGGGCTAACAACAGTAATGCCAAATTCAATGTCTCATCAAATAATGTTTTTATTCTTTTTTATGCCTACAGAGAATAAAAAATGTAATAGCAAAATGATCCATGGTATGGCCATCTTAAAACAACTCCATATGTTAGCTTAGTAGTGTCAAGGTTCTGATGTGGATGTGGTGGTGGAGTCAAGCGCAGGACACAGAGGAATAGTCAAGACGACTTTACTCAATACCTCTTAAGGTACACACAAAATAACAGCCTCCAAAACACAAGAGGTGTAACAAATACGCGAGTGCGTAAATCCCACAAAAGCCAAAGACACAGAACCTAAACATACAAGACAGGCGGACAATAACACACAAAATGCAAACCTAACACAGGGGAACTTATAGGAGACATAATCAAGACAGAATACGAGACAGGTGCACCAACTAGACATAACCAAACAAACATCGAAAACATCAAGCGGTAGTAGCTAGTACTCCGGGGACGACGAACGCCGAAGCCTGCCCGAGCAAGGAGGAGGAGCAGCCTCGGCGGTCTCCGTGACAAGTAGATATCGCCCTCTAAAGTGAGTTCAGCAGACGGGGGTGAATTCTTTAAATGAACAACCTCTCCCTCAACGTGACCAAGACAAAGGAGATGATTGTGGACTACAGGAAAAAAAAGAGGACTGAGCACGCCCCCATTCTCATCGACGGGGCTGTAGTGGAACAGGTTGAGAGCTTCAAGTTCCTTGGTGTCCACATCACCAACAAACTATCATGGTCCAAACACACCAAGACAGTCGTGAAGAGGGCACGACAAAGCCTATTCCCCCTCAGGAGACTGAAAAGATTTGGCATGGGTCCTCAGATCCTCAAAAAATTATACAGCTGCACCATCGAGAGCATCCTGACTGGTTGCATCACCGCCTGGTATGGCAACTGCTTGGCCTCCGACCGCAAGGCACTACAGAGGGTAGTGCGTACGGCCCAGTACATCACTGGGGCCAAACTTCCTGCCATCCAGGACTTCCAGGCGGTGTCAGAGGAAGGCCCTCAAAATTGTCAAAAAGACTCCAGCCACCCTAGTCATAGACTGTTCTCTCTGCTACCGCACGGCAAGCGGTACCGGAGTGTCAAGTCTAGGTCCAAAAGACTTCTCAACAGCTTCTACCCCCAAGCCATAAGACTCCTGAACAGCTAATCATGGCTACCCGGACTATTTGCACTGCCCCCCCACCCCATCTTTTTACGCTGCTGCTACTCTGTTAATTATTTATGCATAGTCACTTTAACTCTACCCACATGTACATATTACTTCAACTACCTCAACTAGCCGGTGCCGATTTGATTTAAATTGGGATACATTATGTCAAGTTTTCTAAAGTCAGTTTTCCCATCAGTCCTCTCTTTCTATGTGTGCTTTATTGCTAACAGCTGTACCCATTTCTGTTGCTACATTTTCTGTTGTTTCAGAATGTACTCCTGCCAACCCCTATGCAAAGCCTGATTAATGCGTCCTGTAGCTCAGTTAGTAGAGCATGGCGCTTGCAATGCCAGGGTTGTGGGTTTGTGGGTTGTGGGTTTCCCACGGGGGGCCAGTATGAAAAAAGTATGAAAAATGTATGCACTCACTAACTGTAAGTCGCTCTGGATAAGAGTGTCTGCTAAATGACTAAATGCGTCACCAAATAAAAACAAAAAGCCATATCTCAGACTGGCCAATAAAAATAAAAGATTAAGATGGTCAGTCTGAGATATGGCTTTTTCTTTGCAACTCTGCCTAGAAGGTCAGCATCCCGGAGTCGCCTCTTCACTGTTGACGTTGAGACTGGTGTTTTGTGGGTACTATTTAATGAAGCTGCCAGTTGAGGACCTGTGAGTTGCCTGTTTCTGAAACTAGACATCTAATGTATTTGTCCTCTTGCTCAGTTGTGCACCGGGGCCTCCCACTCCTCTTTATATTCTGGTTAGAGCCAGTTTGTGCTGTTCTGTGAAGGGAGTAGTACACAGCGTTGTACGAGATCTTCAGTTTCTTGGCAATTTCTCGCATAGAATAGCCTTCATTTCTCATAACAAGAATAGACTGACGAGTTTCAGAAGAAAGTTATTTGATTCTGGCCATTTTGAGCCTGTAATCGAACCCACAATTGCTGATGCTCCAGATACTCAACTAGTCTCAAGAAGGCCAGTTTTATTGCTTCTTTAATCAGCACAACAGTTTTCAGCTGTGCTAACATAATTTCAAAAGGGTTTTCTAATGATCAATTAGCCTTTTAAAATGATAAACTTGGATTAGCAAACACAACGTGCCAGTGGAACACAGGACTGATGGTTGCTGATAATGTGCCTCTGTACACCTATGTAGATATTCCATTAAAAATCAGCCATTTCCAGCTACAATAGCCATTTACAACATTAACAATGTCTACACTGTATTTCTGATCAATTTGATGTTATTTTAATGGACTTAAAAATTGTTTTTCTTTTGAAAACAAGGACATTTCTAAGTGACCCCAAACTTTTGAATGGTAGTGTATATTTATTTTATTTATTTATTTTATTTACATGTGTCATTTAGCAGACACTCTTATCCAGAGCGACTTACATTAGTGCATTCATCTGAAGATAGCTAGGTGAGACAACAAAATATATAAATCGCAGCAAGTACATTTTCCCCCAACAAAGTAGTTATCAGCAAAGTCAGTGCTAGTAGGAAAAGACAAGCACATTTATTTTTCAATGCACTAGGGGGTGGTAATACCTTATTGTTAAATAGTTGAACGTCACAACCTTTCTGTCTGAGAGATTTAAACAGGTCAATAAACATCATGTGGTGATATAATAGCACAGCTAAAGTATATGTTTTAGAGACGCCTGTACAGAACAATTGTGTTACTGCACATGTCAGTTGGTTACAGGTTGCTGGATCAGGAAAATTGCAAAGAGAAGTCATTTTCCTGCCATGGAAACCATGACGTGTTTCAGAGAGCATTGGGTTCAATTTGAAGCAGTCAGAGTTGGCTAGTAGAAGTGGGCCTGGTTATTGTCCTCACATGAGCCTTGCTCGGTCTACATGTATCCAGCTTGTTGGCTCTTACCTTGTCTCCTGGGTGTGGTCTCAACACAGACACGCGGTCATAGCCTTTCGACAGCAACACCCACAGAGCGTCCAATTTTCCCTGCAATCACAAAGCAGTACGCAATACCAATAAGACCTTTAAGATGCTTTTTGTGCATGTTTATTTGTGGGTTTGTGTGTATTGTGACTATAAGTCGCTATACAGCATGTATATTTACACTCCATAGTCATACTTTACATGAATTATATTATATATCAAACTATATTTGATCATTGTGAATTCTGCATAGACCCAGCCACTGCTAAGAGGTTAAATAATCTGTTTTTCTTCACTAAAGTGCTAGCTCTGCAGCCCTTGTCCCTTGGAGGTCAGTCAAGTGTGTATCTGGTTTCTATTAGCCATCCCCTGCTGACTGTCAGGATGTATAGAACAACGCATTTAACTAGCTCCTGGCTCTGTGTGTAGGGGACCATGCCAGTGGTCACCTAAGGACTGGGACCCCAACACTAAAGGATCCCACATCAAATTCCTACATAATCAACTCCAGCTTCAACCCATTCTATTAGTCTATACACAGAATATACAAAACATTAAGAACCTTCCTAATATTGAGTTGCACCCCCCCTTTTGCCCTCAGAACAGCCTCAAATCGTCGGGGCATGGACTCTACAAGGTGTCGAAAGCGTTCCACAGGGATGCTGGCCCATGTTGACTCCAATGCTTCCCACAGTTGTGTCAAGTTGGCTGGATGTCTTTTGGGCGGTGGACCATTCTTGATACACACGGGAAACTGTTGAGCATGAAAAACCCAGCAGCGCTGCAGTTCTTGTCATAAACCGGTGCGCCTGGCACCTACTACCATACCCCGTTCAAAGGCACTTCAATATTTTGTGTTGCCCATTCACCCTCTGAATGGCACACATACACAATCCATGTCTCAATTGTCTCAAGGCTTAAGAATCCTTCTTTAACCTGTCTCCTCCCCTTCATCTACACTGATTGAAGTGGATTTAACAAGTGACATCAATAAGGGATTCATAGCTTTCACCTGTATTCACCTGGTCAGTCTATGTCATGTTCATAGTGTTTTGTACACTCAGTGTATATAATATAGGAAGCCATGTTGAGTATGTGATTGAACTTGACAGCTTTGTGTGCAATGTGTTTCTTTTATAATGGCCATGTCAATACCTTGATTGGTGAGTACCACTTGTGAGGGCCTGGAGGCTTGCGCATGCCATTGTTGAGAATGCGGGTGGGGGACTGTATGAACTCCTGCTCGGGTATCTTCACCCTGGCGTTCTTGGCCTTCTCCAGCTTGGCTCCCTCCTCAGTAGAGCCTTTCTCACCCCAACGCACCTGACAAATAACAAGCAGAGATTTTTTAACATGTCTAGCTTCATTTCAACCAGGCACATTCAATTTGTCACATGCTTTGTAAACAACAGGTGTAGACTAACAGTGAAATGATTACTTACGGCCATTCCCAACAATCCAGAGATAAAAATAGAAAAATAATAACACAAGGAATACATACACAATGAGTAAGAATAGCTTGGCTATATACAGGGAGTACCAGTACCATGTCGTTGTGCAGGGGTACAAGGTAATTGAGGTAGATATGTACACTACCAGTCAAAGGTCTGGACACACCTACTTATTTTTACTATTATTTTACATTGTAGAATAATAGTGAAGACATCAAAACTATGAAATAACACATATGTAATCATGTAGAAAACAAAAAAGTGTTAAACAAATCAAAATATATTTTATATTTGAGATTCTTCAAATAGCCACCCTTTGCCTTGATGACATCTTTGCACACTCTTTGGCATTCTCTCAACCAGCTTCACATGGAATGCTTTTCCAATAGTCTTGAAGGAGTTCCCACATATGCTGAGCACTTGTTGGCTGTTTTTCCTTCATGCTACGGTCCGACACATCCCAAACCATTTATATTGGGTTGAGGTCGGGGGATTATGGAGGCCAGGTCATCTGATGCAGCACTCCATCACTTTCCTTCTAGGTAAAATAGCCCTTACACAGCCTGGAGGTGTGTTGGGTCATTGTCCTGTTGAAAAACAAATGATAGTCCCACTAAGCCCAAACCATTCTAAATAAATCACAGACAGTGTCACCAGCAAAGCACCCCCACACCATAACACCTCCTCCTCCATGCTTTACGGTGGGAAATACACATGCGTAGATCATCCGTTCACCCACACCACGTCTCACAAAGACAAGGCGGTTGGAACCAAAAATCTCAAATTTGGTCTCCAGACCAAAGGACACATTTCCACTGGTCTAATGTCCATTGCTTGTGTTTCTTGGCCCAAGCAGGTCTCTTCTTCTTATTGGTGTCCTTTAGTAGTGGTTTCTTTGCAGCAATTTGACCATGAAGGCCTGATTCACACAGTCCCCTCTGAACAGTTGATGTTGAGATGTGTCTGTTACTTGAACTCTGTGAAGCATTTATTTGAGCTGAATTTCTGAGGCTGGTAACTCTAATGAACTTATCCTCTGCAGCAGAGGTAACTCTGGGTCTTCCATTCCTGTGGCGGTCCTCATGAGAGCCAGTTTCATCATAGCTCTTGATGGTTCTTGAAATGTTCCGTATTGACTGACCTTTATGTCTACCAAATAGGGCTATCTTCTGTATACCCCCCCTACCGTGTCACAACACAACTGATTGGCTCAAATGCATTAAGAAGGAAATAAATTGCACAACTTAACTTTTAAGCACACCTGTTAATTGAAATGCATTCCAGGTGACTACCTCATGAAGCTGGTTGAGAGAATGCCAAGAGTGTGCAAAGCTGTCATCAAGGCAAATGGTGACTATTTGAAGAATCTCAAATATATTTTGATTTTTTTAACTCTTTTTTGGTTACTACATGATTCCATATGTGTTATTTCATAGTTTTGATGTCTTCACTATTATTCTACAATGTACAAAATAGTAAAAATAAAGAAAAACCCTGGAATGAGTAGGTGTGTCCAAACTTTTGACTGGTAATGTACATAAAGTAACTAGGCAACAGGATAGATAATAAACAGTAGCAGCAGCGTATATGATGAGTCAAAAAAGTTTGCGCAAAAAGGGTCAATGCAGATAGTCTGGCTAGCTCTTTGGTTATCTATTTAACTATTTAGCAGTCTTATGGCTTGGGGGTAGAAGCTGCTCAGGGTCTGTTGTTTCCAGACTTGGTGCATCAGTACTGCTTGCCATGCGATAGCAGAGAGAACAGTCTATGACTTGGGTGGCTGGTGTCTTTGACCATTTTTAGGGCCTTCCTCTGACACCGCCTGACACAGAGATCCTGGATGGCAGTGAGATTGGCCCCAATGGTGTACTGGGCTGTACGCATTACCCTCTGTAGAGCCTTGCAGTCAGATGCCAAGCAGTTGCCATACCAAGCGGTGATGCAGCCAGTCAAGATGCTCTCGACGGTGCAGCTGTAGAACTTTATGAGGATCTGAGGGCCCATGCCAAATCTTTGCAGCCTCCTGAGTGGGAAGAGGCGTTGTCGTGCCCTCTTCACGACTGTGTTTGTGTGTTTGGACCACAATAAGTCCTTAGTGATGTGGACACCGAGGAACTTGAAGCTCTCGACCCGTACCACTACAGCCCCGTCGATGTGAATGGGGGTGTGCACGGCCAACCACTAAGAGTGTGCTTGGTTGTTTGCCATTGCTGATCTGTCAAACAGAGTTCCTAGATCAAATAGCATGGAGAGGACAGCTGTAGATTGACAGGAGAGTGAGGGCAGGTACAGTGCAGTATAATGAAATCTGCTTGTCTGAGCTTAAATGCAGCACGGTTCCAGGGAAGCTCACCTCCATCCTTTTGATTCCACCAACACCTCTGCCCCCATAGTAGGAGGCATCGACCGTGGGCCACTTCTTCTTAGGCATCCCATCTTCTTCCTCATCCTGTGGTGGGGGAGAGAGAGATAGTGTAAAGGCATGTGTAAAGATCCCACTCTTTTCACAGTGTCCTAGACAGGGTTAATCAAAATTCAGGTTGTGAGATGATTGATCATTTCATACACACTGGCACTGTTGGTTCTGAGGTACAGCCTATACACCAAGCACCCTGCCTCTCCATCTCCATCTCTCATATACCCTACTCTAAATCTAATATTTCAGGCCCTGGGTATGATTTCCTTTTTATGTCTAAGTCAGTCTCCATCTCCTCTCTCTCCCCCTCGTCTCCTCACCTCCCGTCCTGTCCATGGCATGCGTCAGGTCAGAGGAAATGACAGAGCCCACAGCCCCCCTCCTCATGTTTCAGCTCTTTAATAGGCCCAGATTCAGACTAATCGAATCCATCAGGCCTATGATCAGGGCCTGCCAGAGAGGAGGCGGAAATAACAACAGGCTGACGTCATCGCCCTCACAGATCGTCAGAGAGACACGGACAATGGGCAAAAAGCTTCCCAGAAAACTGGTGGAGAGCCCTCCTGTATGATTTAATTGAATTAAAGGAGTGGGGGAGATGATTACTTCACCCTTTTTGTGTACATTCCATGTGCTGGGTTAATATAGGGATTTTATGACAATATCTTACAAAAACAACATCTAAAAGGACTGGTAAACCTATGATATACAAGTAAGTTGAGAAGAAAAGTAATTGGACTGTGTCACTATAAACCTTTTTGGCAGCTTCTCTATTCTTTCCTGACTTTACAACCAAAGTTGCATCCAAAAATGGAACAAAGGTTTATACTAAAAGGAAAATAATTGCAACATTTATTAAATGAGTATGGGCTGTAAAAACTCGTAGTGTCATTAAAATGAGTCACATATGACCTGGATAGAATTATGTTGCTAGTTGAGAATGTTTTGTAACTAGAGTCATTTGCGATGCTGTCTGTTGTTCACTGTGAAAATATTTATTGTGAAGTATTATTGTGAAGAAAATATAATTGTGAAGTATTATTTGATTAATCAGATTAGTCAGTGAATTCCCTGAGGGAATTCAAGGAAGGGACTCCAAAACAGATGGCTCTTAAATAAGGCCTTAATTTAAACCTTATACTAAAGAGTATCCCATATAGTGAAGTAAAGGGACAATTATTCTCAGCTTTTTTATCAGAATGCATTTGCTGAGAGTAAGGGGTGGTTTAGGACAAGATGAGCTGAGGGGAAAGACGGCTTCATAGTGGGAGGGTGTTGTCCTCTGGCTGATTTGTATATCATGGCATTTCTTGTCTGAGGTTCAAAGACAAAACCACAGCAATTGGGAGGAAAAAACATCTTGGTCATATGTCAGTCTATAAAATCAAAGGGAATATTACAAATGGTCAGTGATTTTTTAGGTTATTGAAGAAAATGGACCATAAGCAATGGCTTCCTATACCTATTAACATTCCAAATGGTTTTGCTACATGTCAGTCAGTCCACTATCCTTGTAGCCTAGTGTATCTCCCTTGTGGATGGGGAATATACATTAAGGATAACTGTTGTTCAGTAAAAATCTCCACAAAAGAATGACTACTTTAACTATAAAACAAATGGCAGCAAGTTTATTTATGTTCTGCTTAATGGCCATTACATAATTTAACAGCCATATCATTGTGTAACAGTGAGTGAAAGGAAACTTTTCTTCTGGAGACATATAGAACTATAAAAAGTCTATGAAGTTCGACATACTGGGGAAAATCTATGAACCCACACCCCAAAAGTATATATAATAAAGTGTTTACCTACCGAACTGTCTTCTACTACTGGTGGTGGTGGCTCATGGATAATCTATGGTGAAAGGGGGGGGGGGGGGGGGGGGAGTTTACATTCGTTACAAGCATGTAAGAAAACATACATGTACTTCAAAAACACATTAAAATATATGTCACAGTAATGTGTGCCAAAAACAGGGTTACATGAAAACACATGGCTCAGGAATTGTTTTCCTCTCTCTTTTTTCCTACTATTTACAAACCACTGACTTACAAATCTGCCTTCCATAGAAAGGGGGTGGGGGATAGTAAAAGGCATGCGAGTCTATGCTCCACGCTCACTTGTTTTTCTGTTTTCAGCTATGATGAAATTCAAGGAACCCTGTGTAAAATGTGTTCTAGGAAAAAGGACATATTCACAGACATGTACGCTTTTAACTACCAGCTCCTTCTGTTGGATTTTGGCAGAGCCCTGTGATGATGTAGAAGAATATTAAAATAATTTAGATGTTTAGTAAATATTGATAATCTGTATTTTCCTCAAATTCACTTGGCTCAATCTATAGGAAAATACATGCTTGGGGTGTGTCCATGGCTAACAAAACATTGAGCAGCTATAACTGTAACTGGGAATACTGTAAGCTACACATACAGTACCAGTCAAATGTTTGGACACACCTACTCATTCCAGGGTTTTTCTTTATTTTTACTATTTTTTACATTGTAGAATAATAGTGAAGACAGCAAAACTATTAAATAACATATGGAATCATGTAATAACCAAAAAAGTGTTAAAGAAATCAAAATATATTAGCCACCCTTTGCCTTGATGACAGCTTTGCACACTCTTGGCATTCTCTCAACCAGCTTCATGAGGTAGTCACCTGGAATGCATTTCAACTAACAGGTGTGCCTTCTTAAAAGTTAATTTGTGGAATTTCTTTCCTTCTTAATACGTTTGAGCCAATCAGTTGTGTTGTGACAAGGTAGGGGGAGTTTACAGAAGATAGCCCTATTTGGTAAAAGACCAAGTCCATATTATGGCAAGAACAGCTCAAATAAGCAAAGAGAAACGACAGTCCATCATTACTTTAAGACATGAAGGTCAGTCAATACAGAAAATGTCAAGAACTTTTAAAGTTTCTTCAAGTGCAGTCGCAAAAACCATCAAGCGCTATGATGAAACTGTCTCTCATGAGGACCGCCACAGGAATGGAAGACCCAGAGTTACCTCTGCTGCAGAGGATAAGTTCATTAGAGTTAACTGCACCTCAGATTGCAGCCCAAATAAATGCTTCACAGAGTTTAAGTAGCAGACACATCTCAATATCAACTGTTCAGAGGGGACTGTGTGAATCAGGCCTTCATGGTCGAATTGCTGCAAAGAAACCACTACTAAAGGACACCAATAAGAAGAAGAGACCTGCTTGGGCCAAGAAACACGAGCAATGGACATTAGACCGGTGGAAATGTGTCCTTTGGTCCAAATTGGAGATTTTTGGTTCCAACCGGCGTGTCTTTGTGAGACATGGTGTGGGTGAACGGATGATCTCTTCATGTGTATTTCCCACCGTAAAGCATGGAGGAGGAGGTGTTATGGTGTGGGGGTGCTTTGCTGGTGACACTGTCTGTGATTTATTTAGAATTCAAGGCACACTTAACCAGCATGGCTACCACAGCATTCTACAGCGATACGCCATCCCATCTGGTTTGGGCTTATTGGGACTATCATTTGTTTTTCAACAGGACAATGACCCAACATACCTCCAGGCTGTGTAAGGGCTATTTTGCCTAGAAGGAGAGCGATGGAGTGCTGCATCAGAAGACCTGGCCTCCACAATCCCCCAACCTCAACCCGATTGATATGGTTTGGGATGAGTCAGACCGCAGAGTGAAGGAAAAGCAGCCAACAAGTGCTCAGCATATGTGGGAACTCCTTCAAGACTGTTGGAAAAGCATTCCAGGTGAAGCTGGTTGAGAGAATGCCAAGAGTGTGCAAAGCTGTCATCAAGGCAAATGGTGGCTATTTAAAGATTCTCAAATATAAAATATACTTTGATTTGTTTAACACTTTTTTATTTACTACATGATTCCATATGTGTTATTTCATAGTTTTGATGTCTTCACTATTATTCTACAATGTAGAAAATAGTAAAAATAAAGAAAAACCCTTGAATGAGTAGGTGTGTCCAAACTTTTGACTGGTAGTGTAGGTCTACCATATAGGGCAATTTGTCTTTAATAAATAAAATACAACATTAAAAAGGTTCACGCTTGTAAGACACTGTCCATGAGTGTGAATGTGACAGATAGTGTATGTGACTCACCACAGTGCAGCAGAGAGGCCAGAACCACCAGAGAATCATGAGGATTAAAAGCAGCATGAGGATGAGCAGGGCGATGGCCAGGATGGTTCCATCAGACTGGGACAAACAGAGAAGGACACAGGTCAAACTCACTCTCTACTGACCTGCATGTTCCACCACGGTGCAAAGGCTGAGACCCATCAGAAAGTTAGAGCCTGTAATCGTGTAACTACAGGGGACTAACATAATAAGTGATAGTTTGAAACAGTTATTGGTTCATGTGAGTCTTTGATGGGGGTACTGCATAGCACATAGTTGTGGTGCACAGTGGGGTGGTGCATGTTGTACTTACACAGCCCACTGTTGTAATGGTGACTGAACTGGAGATGAAACTGAGACCTTCATTCATGCTGACATAGAGTTTGGCTGCCCTGGAACACAGCGTGGGTGTAAAGAGATAGAGTGTGGTGAGGATGGGTGACAGAAACATCAGCAGATAAACAGCAGGTAAAGAGAAAAACTGATATTCTTTCAGTGATGATAGTACTTACATTCCCTCTTCCTGTAGAATGGGGGCAGGACAGAGGAGATATGTATCTTCCACTATTAATGGCTTCACACCTAGAGGAGTACAGGAGAACGAAGGGTCACAACATTGACTCATACACAAACCATATTGGTTCTGCTGTAGTCAGAGTGTATTCAGACTGCACAGATCAGAACCCATTGACCTTTTGAGAAGTGGAGCAGCTGCATATGTATATCATGAGCTTAGATGTATATCATGTCCCACATATTTCTTCAACTGATGTCTGGAGTTCATTGACTAATGATCATGAAATGTCAAAATCTAATTGGATTATTGGTATTGGACTGTGACAGGACAAACTGATTAGTGATGACAACAGCACGGATGTCATATACAGTATCTGATGGTAACTCAATTAAGACCAATCTAACATAATACAGAGATGCTTGAGGACCAGATTTCGATACCTCTAGTCTAGACATGTACACCCATTTGACACAGAGCAAAGACAAAATATGATTAAAAGCATAGTCATCATTTTTTTAAGAGAACCTTGATTCTTCCTATGTCCAATTTATGAAACTTTTGAAAAGAGATCCAGTGAGCATCGTCATTGCCCAAGACTGCCTGTTTATCCTGGCTCAGGGTGAACATACCCCGGCACTGAGGAAATCAACATGAGTGCTCCACAGCAAACGGATGACGGCTCCTCTCCTCTCCAGTAACACCCTGCAGGATGGAGGGGAAGACTGGGGAGCAGGAGATCAATACCGCTGCCTGCCAAGCTGAGCTCAGAGCCAACACAAACTCAGCCAGATATCCCACTCAGAGTTCAACTGAGCGGTCACCCACCTTACACTCCGCATGGACTTAAACTATCAAAGGGGACCGAGAGAACTGAGAGCCTCTTTTAAGGCAGATTGACTGACTGACTGACTGACTGACTGACTGGCTGGCTGGCTACAAAATACTCTCTGGTCTTTCTCTCAGGTTATCGGGGCCCATCGGGGACCAAATCTGGTGGTCATATTTCTACTATTTAATACCATTCACTCTTAGAAGAAAAGGCGCTATCTAGAACCTAAAAGGGTTCTTTGGCTGTCCCCATAGGAGAACCCTTTGAAGAACCCTTTTTGGTTTCAGGTAGAACCTTTTTGGGTTCTATGTAGAACCATTTCCACAGAGGGTTCTATACAGAACCCAAAAGGGTTCTACATGGAACCAAAAAGGGTTATTCTACCTGAACCAAAAAGGGTTCTCCTATGGGGACAGCTGAATAAACAGTGTAGGGATCTAGATGCTGGCCAACAGCTTTGCTTCATCTCACACTTTATTACACTGTTTACTCTGTGCACATGAGAAAAGGTCAAGCTTTACTGCTGAGTGTAGACATGCTCACAGTTTAATCTTACTCAATAAATTACAGTCTGTGCTGATCAGTGACTAGCCTCTCATTGAGATGACTAAGTGTCCAGTAGGATCCCTCAGATCAGACACATTTGAGGTCAAGTCCATTTTAATTCCAGGTCCATGGCAGTGTAGGTAAAGTTCCAAATCCATTTCAATCCCTGAATTAATTGCAAAGAAGCCAATCTCAACTCCACTAGTTCATACCATCTCAAAAGATTGTTCAACTAATACTGGGACAATACAACAGGACATAGCTACTGACAATACCATAATGTGGCTGTGAAAGATTTCTGGAGGACAATGCAATCCCAATAAAATGACTATTCCTCCTAATCCCCCTCCTTTTATCACGTCACCAGGTGTGGATTCTCATTCTTCACATATCTCCATGCTGCTGCTCACTGGAGCCATCAGGGCAACATCTGTCACAGGGAGGAAAGAATGCCCATGACGTGTCTTCACTGCCAAAGCTCAGAGGGCCTATATTTGCTGCTGCTGCTTTTCCTGGAGACATATACTGAGACATCCATTCAGCTGCTGAACACATGTAGCTACAGTTGAAGTCGGAAGTTTACATACACCTTAGCCAAATACATTTAAACTCAGTTTTTCACAATTCCTGACATTTAATCATAGTAAACATTCCCTGTCTTAGGTCAGTTAGGATCACCACTTTATTTTAAGAATATGAAATGTCAGAATAATAGTAGAGAGAATGATTTATTTCAGCTTTATTTCTTACATCACATTCCCAGTGGGTCAGAAGTTTACATACACTCAATTAGTATTTGGTAGCATTGCCTTTAAATTGTTTAACTTGGGTCAAACGTTTCGGGTAGCCTTCCACAAGCTTCCCACAATAAGTTGGGTGAATGTTGGCCCATTCCTCCTGACAGAGCTGGTGTAACTGAGTCAGGTTTGTAGGCCTCCTTGCTCGCACACGCTTTTTCAGTTCTGCCCACAACTTTTGTATAGGATTGAGGTCAGGGCTTTGTGATGGCCACTCCAATACCTTGACTTTGTTGTCCTTAAGCCATTTTTCCACAACTTTGGAAGTATGCTTGGGGTCATTGTCCATTTGGAAGACCCATTTGCAACCAAGCTTTAACTTCCTGACTGATGTCTTGAGATGTTGCTTCAATATATCCACATAATTTCCCTTCCACGTGATGCCATCTATTTTGTGAAGTGCACCAGTCCCTCCTGCAGCAAAGCACCACCACAGCATGATGCTGCCACCCCCGTGCTTCATGGTTGGGATGGTGTTCTTCGGCTTGCAAGTTCCCCCCTTTTTCCTCCAAACATAATGATGGTCATTATGGCCAAACAGTTCTATTTTTGTTTCATCAGACCAGAAGACATTTCTACAAAAAGTACGATCTTTGTCCCCATGTGCAGTTGCAAACCGTAGTCTGGCTTTTTTATGGCGGTTTTGGAGCAGTGGCTTCTTCCTTGCTGAGTGGCCTTTCAGGTTATGTCGATATAGGACTCGTTTTACTGTGGATATAGATACTTTTGTACCTGTTTCCTCCAGCATCTTCACAAGGTCCTTTGCTGTTGTTCTGGGATTGATTTGCACTTTTCGCACCAAAGTACGTTCATCTCTAGGAGACAGAACGTGTCTCCTTCCTGAGCGGTATGACGGCTGCGTGGTCCCATGGTGTTTATACTTGCGTACTATTGTTTGTACAGATGAACATGGTACCTTCAGGTGTTTGGAAATTGCTCCCAAGGATGAACCAGACTTGTGGAGGTCCAAATATTTTTTTATGAGGTCTTGGCTGATTTATTTTGATTTTCCCATGATGTCAAGTGAAGAGGCACTGAGTTTGAAGGTAGGCCTTGAAATACATCCACAGGTACACCTCCAATTGACTCAAATGATGTCAATTAGCCTATCAGAAGCTTCTAAAGCCATGACATCGTTTTCTGGAATTTTCCAAGCTGTTTAAAAGGCACAGTCAACTTAGTGTATGTAAACTTCTGACCCACTGGAATTGTGATACAGTGAATTATAATTGAAATAATCTGTCTGTAAACAATTGTTGGAAAAATTACTTGTGTCATGCACAAAGTAGATGTCCTAACCGACTTGCCAAAACTATAGTTTGTTAACAAGACATTTGTGGAGTGGTTGGAAAATGAGTTTTAATGACTCTAACCTAAGTGTATGTAAACTTCCGACTTCAACTGCACACATTTCTCCTTTCCAACGAGGGCTCCAAACTTTTGTAGGTTATGGAGAGGCTGTAGAGGGGGGATGATGTATGTGGTGGTTAGGGGTTCTGCAGATAACAGGAGAGCCCAACATGGGACAAGGTGAATCAATCATATGAGACCAATGACACTCGACCACAGGAAACAATAATCCAATAGCCATTTATAGGTGGCCCCTGCTGTGTCTGAAATGACTATACGGTTTAGGGGTATACATGCTCTACTGGACAGTGGTAAACAGCTGTGTATCCTCTTTTCCTAAATTGTTTCCATGTCTTCCGCTTGTCTGTGGGGAGTTGGATGTTTAATTACATACAAACAATTAACATTCTGGGTCACCGTAAACCATTCTCTTCATCACTCTTCTTCAGAGTAGAATAAATGTGTTAGCGGTCCCTAGGTCATTCATGCTAAGCAGCACCATACTGTAAAAGTTATTAAACCATAATATTGAATGGAGCTGAAGACTGTGCTTGGATCTGCTACAAAATTCCATAGATTAAATCTTTCATTGCAATTCAGACCTTCAGAATGAAGGCCAATAACTTACCTTAGAATGGACATCAACTTCGTGCATGGGTCTTTTCTCCAGACCCTGTTCTGACATTCAGCTGTTGAGGGTAAAACCTCTTCCAGCCTAAGCATCCTATTTTTCTCTTCCCTTCAGGCCCAGACTTCAGACTTGCTTGTGCATCAGCACTGGCTATTTTCTCTTTGTTTTGTAATTAGAGCATGGCCTCCCACAGCTACATGTCGGCAGGCATCGGAGGGGGCTGGTCTCACACATCCATTAGGCCACTTCTAAAGACCACAGGGGAACTTGGATGTGCCTCCAGGACTTTCCTCCTCACTGACTTCTGTGTGGCACTGTTTTCCCTTGATTTTCTGGCTCTGGCACAGTCCCAGGCCGTTAAAGCACAATGTACCCTTTAAATACACAAACCAGTAATACCAGGAACAAATGGCATGGGCACTTGTTTGGGCATTGAGGACCCCTGCTGCACTCCTGAAGAGCACTTTTGGGAAGCATTGTGAGACATCAATAGGTAAACATTGACTTTTACCATGTCTAACTCATAACTCACCACGTTGGTCACACATTTCCTGAGCAGTTTTACTCTTGCAGCTGCAGTAATTATGTCTTTGTGTTTCTTATTACATGATTAGAAAATTATGTACGCATTATGAACAAGCCATTCAAACAAACAGAAAACAGCACCCTTGTCTATTTATTTTCAGTTTGTACTCCACTTACTCTTGGTGAGTGTGTCGTTGATTCGGAAACTGCACAGAACCTTATCGACATTCCGAGCATGGAGGAAGCCATTTCCTCTAACCACCACCTGGAAAGTTTCTGGAGGGAGAAGAGAGGAACACAGTGACTGAATTTGTCCCACCACATGTAATAGCTGTTCAGGCTAACATCTGAGTCTATCATCTCAGCATCTCACACTCTGGTTACATTCTGCCAACAAACTCCTTCTAAACCACCATGCCCTGACCATAGTAGTTGTTGAAGAGAAATTATTTATCTGGATGACTGGATAATTGAGATCTTGCGGTCAATGAGACTTCAACTGCAGTTGTTCAGACATGTGGATATATAGTGGCTCTCTGGAGCCAATACCACAGAACCCAGAAAACATGAAGCGTAAATACTTATTTTTACAGTGGGGAAAGTGGTGGGTCGTAAGACTGTAGAATGGACAATGACTGAGCAGCCTTACACAGCGGAAAAAGAAAGTAATGATTTGTGTCCTTAGTACAGTAGTTAAATGGTGTTGGGACCAGGTCTGGGTTGAATCTTTCATGACAAATGAAGTTGCTGCTACTGTGTGTAGCAGATATTTACTGCACACCAGGCTCCTGGCCCTGCCAAAGTAGATTTTTCTTCTCTTCCTCCAATGTGGGGGCCTTTAAATGTATGATTTAGTGAAGACCTGAGAGGCCAGAGAGGATAAATTGGTTGGGCCAGAGGTCTATAAACTTACCTCCTGCACAGATACTGGAGGGCTCAGCCGCCAGGATCTCAATACAGGACTTCTTTAATATCTGGGGGAGGGAGGTGAGAGGTGAGAAGGAGGGAGACAGGGGGGACATGGGGCCAAGGTCTGGACATTCTCACTGTATCTCACACCTGTTACAAAAGGTTGTGTGTTTCTTTGTTGAGAGTATTGGTTTACAATATAATCCCTATACTCCTTTTACTGTCAATTACAGTAACAGTGTGTACCAGTGCACCTCAATAATATGATCTGCTTGAGGTCTCCTGTTCTCGTCTCTGTGCTCCTCACTGTCCTTGTGCTCTGGGTGTATATCTCTCTCTATACCCCCACTGTCTAGGGAAAGTATGTGTTGTATTCCTGAAGATCAGACTGATTTACAACATGCTGCCCTTTTTCTTCCTTGACTCAGAGCCAGCAGCTTTCAGCATGCTTTTAATGGGATCCAGATGACAGTCAACTGGTCTGACCCTATCTCTGCTAGAGAAACTCAGTGCCCGGGTGACAGTGGCCTCTCCACGACTCTCCTTTTCTTTCATCCCTCTGCTTTTTCAAGCAGCCGAGCGGATACAAAAAATATAAGTAAATACCTTTGAGGTGGAAGCTAAAATATATAATGAATGCCTACACTGATCCTGTTTGGTAATACTCCAGTATCTTGGATCAAAAGCTGGGAAGTCACAGCATGTTTTCCTGGAATGTTGTTACTGGTGAGTTTTGATGGCCAGAATATTTCTGTTTATTGTTTTCATTTGTCCTATTTTCCCCCATTTCCTATTTGAGTAATGTGTTAATGGATTGAGAGAGATGTACTACAGTGAGGATATGAGATCCATGTGGAACCATTTCCTCATCAAACACCATCTCTGGATGGATGGTGCAGTGTGCATATTAAAAATGCTGTTATTCTTTCCTTGTGTTAGTAGTCAGGTCTGAATCTCTTACTGAATCAATGACCCCCTGCAGTGCTTCAAAGCCATCGTTCACTGGGAATACATGGTCCTTGCTATCAGCAATCTTTGCCAGCTGAGGAAGAGAAAAGTATCATACAGTTCATGCTGAACTTTCACAATCCCACCAACCTCTTTTCCATCTTATGTTTGGGACACAGTTTGAGATACCATGTCAAATCAGAGCACATGGAAGCAAGATGTGTCAACAAACCTGTGTCTCATTGAAGTCCTTTACCCCCACACAGTATACGGAGGCACCCAGACTCCGCGAGCGGTTGGCCTGTCAGGTATTCACAGAGGAGAGCAAAAACAGGAAAGACTGTCAACACCTGGAATCTATTAAAGCACTGCATTGCACGATATCAACCAACACACAACCACAGATAACACTCCAGATAGCTCCTCTGGACGTGTTGTGACACTGAGGCGTAGATTTGAGTAATAGCTAAGAGATAATACAGCATTGAGTTCTTGCTGACTGATATTCAATATCGTTTCTAAAAAGAATTAGACTTTGATGGAAACCCTTTACTGGCTAGAGCCAATAGAGCCCACGAGTCAAATGTTACATTTCATGAGCATCTGAAAGAAGGCCCTTCAGAGCTGAGCTGACAATTTTATTAAATATGAGTGACAGCATAAAGCTTCAAGCTATTGCTCCGAGGCTCCCTGTTCAGGGTAAGTTGCACTTTCCCCACAACATTTTGAAAGCTACTGAGAAAGATACAGAATCTGCCTCACTTCATCAAGGGTGTCCAAGGGTGCTCAGATCTGATTAAACAGCCCTAGCTTTGCTCGTCTGCTGCACCTGCACTCCCAGTCCCAGCCCAGTCTGGGGGGATAAATCATTGGTTCCTTGTGCAGATGTGTGGCAAATGACTGGGCCTTCTTTATTCACGGGCAGATGGGAGACATAAATCTGACAGAAACTTTGACCCCCTTTTCCTTCTCTGAAAAGAATGGATCAAAGTGCTACTGAGGTGAAGTATATGGTGCTGCTGTTTGATCTGTGCCAACAGGAGTGCCGCTTCTGTTTACAATTTGTGGGCTCGTCTCTCTCTTTCTCTCGCTCTCTCTCTCTGGCTATGTTTCCTGTTTACCTCTCTCTTTTTCACTCTGTCTCAGGCTGTGCTTACCTCTCTCTCAGCATAGTAGAAGAGGTCCTCATGCAACTCTCCATCTGTGAGAGCTATGATGACACTGGCAGTACGGTATCCTATCAACAGACAGAAAATCTTTGATTAGGATCTAAATGCTGCCACAGCGCTATCCAAATAATAATGGCAGACTAACAGATAGACATGAGAAATTAATCATGGAAAACTTCCAGCAGGAAACAATTGAAAAAATTATATTTAACTACACACCTTCTGAGTTTCCATAATATATCTGCTCACTGGCCTGTAAAAGAAGATTAATTGGATTGAAACAGTACAATGGTTAAAGCTGTCCTGTGAATACAGTAACTCTTCCATACTGATACAGGTGCCATTTTGGCTCTGAACCATGTTCTTTGTTCTTAAGCCAGAATGGAGATAGATTCTAGCTCAGAGCTCAGCTAAAGGTACACAGCTCACCCTCTGGATGCCCTCGTGCATAAAGGTGTCTCCCCCTGGAAGTACCCTCTGGAGCTCCTCCAGACCTTTGCGAATCTGCTCCCTGAGCAAAAGAACAGATGATGTCTCACCCTGTAGAAGTCATCCACTGGGCACAGTTGTCAATTCAACATCTATTTCACATTGGTTCAACGTATTTTCATTGAAATTAAGTGGAAACAACGTTGATTCAACCAGTGTGTGCCCAGTGGGCCCTGTCTTATAGATCTAACTGCAGCTACAAAGCTATCAAAACCGTAAATTACTTAGACCTTCAAATAAGAAGTAGCTTTAAGTGTTGATGTAAGAAGAGTCATAATAGTGATAAATGTGTGACATGTGCTACTATCAAATCATACTGTCAAACTCAAACATTGAGTACGGCATTGAACTGCATGCATGCACACCCATAATCTTGAATAGCAAGTGAGTCGTTTTAAGCCCTAAAAATAGAACTGTGCACTAATATCGAACAGATTTTCCTTTTGACTGAGTTCTTGTACAATGCATAGTCTTCTCCCTAAACTAAAAGCTGACACAGACAGATATGATGTGACAAAGACAATAGGCACAGAAACAAAGAACTATCATGATCTCTCTACTGAAGTGGTATTCCATTTCAGAGAGTAGTGATGGGATTTATGTGAGCTTCAGGTTTTAAGAGTGTCCTATTGACACAGGACACTGTCTAGCAGATAGTGAGGGAAATGAGTCCTGTATGAAATGAGACAGCTGGAAGACCATAAACATTGAAAAAATGTCAGTGCCTGCGTGGAAAATGCGCCTAAGGAAAGATTAGACACATATGCGACACATAATATATTTATTTTTTATTTTTTTATTTCACCTTTATTTAACCAGGTAAGCCAGCTGAGAACAAGTTCTCATTTACAACTGCGACCTGGTCAAGATAAAGCAAAGCAGTGCAATAAAAACAACAACACAGAATTACATATGGGGTAAACAAAACATAAAGTCAAAAATACAAACAGAAAATATATATACAGTGTGTGCGAATGTAGTAAGTTATGGAGGTAAGGCAGTAAATAGGCCATAGTGCAAAATAGTTACAATTTCGTATTAACACTGGAATGATAGATGTGCAAAAGATGATGTGCAAATAGAGATACTGGGGTGCAAATTAGCAAAATAAATAACAATATGGGGATGAGGTAGTTGGGTGGGCTAATTTCAGAATGGCTGTGTACAGGTGCAGTGATCGGTAAGCTGCTCTGACAACTGACGCTTAAAGTTAGTGAGGGAGATAAGAGTCTCCAGCTTCAGAGATTTTTGCAGTTCGTTCCAATCATTGGCAGCAGAGAACTGGAAGGAATGGCGGCCAAAGGAGGTGTTGGCTTTGGGGATGACCAGTGAGATATATCTGCTGGAGCGCAGACTACGGGTGGGTGTTGCTATGGTGACCAGTGAGCTAAGGTAAGATGGGGATTTGCCTAGCAGTGATTTATAGATGACCTGGAGCCAGTGGGTTTGGCGACGAATATGTAGTGAGGGCCAGCCAACAAGAGCGTACAGGTCACAATGGTGGGTAGTATATGGGGCTTTGGTGACAAAACGGATGGCACTGTGATAGACTACATCCAATTTGCTGAGTAGAGTGTTGGAGGCTATTTTGTAAATGACATCGCCGAACTCAAGGATCGGTAGGATAGTCAGTTTTACGAGGGCATGTTTGGCAGCATGAGTGAAGGAGGCTTTGTTGTGAAATAGGAAGCCGATTCTAGATCTAACTTTTGATTGAAGATGCTTAATGTGATTCTGGAAGGAGAGTTTACAGTCTAACCAGACACCTAGGTATTTGTAGTTGTCCACATACTCTAGGTCAGACCCGCCGAGAGTAGTGATTCTAGTCGGGTGGGCGGGTGCAAGCAGCGTTCGGTTGAAGAGCATGCATTTAGTTTTATTAGTGTTTAAGAGCAGTTGGAGGCTACGGAAGGAGTGTTGTATGGCGTTGAAGCTCGTTTGGAGGTTTGTTAACACAGTGTCCAATGAAGGGCCAGATGTATACAAAATGGTGTTGCCACAATGCTGAAGTTCACAGTTTGCCAAAGGATTGACAGCATTGTCAGTCAAGCTAAATGTGAGTGTATTGTACTCTGTGATTCTTATGTCTCTAATTCAATTAACCTGAAACAAATCCTGCATGTTTCTCTGGTTTCTGGATTCTTGATAATCAACTCAGTTCAGAATCAGCAAATACCTGACATCTTATGCAGAGGTAATACCCCAAATCCTAAGAAAGAAAGATTGTTCCCTCACCTGTCCTCTGTGAGCCGCATCAAAATTCTTCCCTCAGTGGAGAACACAATGAAGGACATGCGCAGCTGTGGACTGGAGAGAAATTAACAATATTCAGAACATTTATACAGTATATTAACTTTATTTACATGTTTTGTCATTTAGCAGACGCTCTTATCCAGAGCGACTTACAGTTAATGCATTCATCTTAAGATAGCTAGGTGGGACAACCACATATAATGCTTTGGATAAAAGCGTCTGCTAAATGGCATATTATATTATTATTATATACATTTTCTCTCAATAACGTAGCTATCAGTAGAGTCAGAGCTAGAAGGGAGGGGGGGGGGGGGGGGTCGAGGTGAGGAGAAGGATGATTTAATGGTAGACATTCATACCCACACCATGGTTAATGGTTCAAAGTTTTGTTTATAATGAATTTATATAACTTTACTTTTCATCACATGGTCTTTGTAAACAAACTATTCTCACCTTATGAATTTATGAGCCAGATGTTCCACAAAGTGATAGATTTCAATCCAGTGGTGCTGCACACTCCCAGATCTGTAAAGAGAAATAACATGTTGATGAGAGTTTTGTGTAACAGTCTGGAGGAAGTGGAGAAGTTAAGGACTATCTGACAGATGGGGAAGGAGAGTCAGGGGAATCGAAGGGTACTGTATCTGTATTGTAGAAAGGCAGCATCTTCTTTAGACATTTTCACTATTATGTGAATCCTATTGCACAGTCAAATATGGTTTGACACAAAGTGGAAAGGGGATACCTAGTCAGTTGCACAACTGAATGCATTAAACTGAAATGTGTCTGCTCAAGGGCAGAATGGCAGATTTTTTCATTTTGCCGGCTCGGGGATTCAAACCAGCAACCTTTCGGTTACTGGCCCAACGGTATTAACCGCTAGGCTAGCTGCACACCTTTCATACTTTCTACAATCTTTTCCTTAATCAACTTACAGAAGACAGACATATTTTCTGCACTCTGAATTTTTACTCAACTTTGTGCAACTTCTTCTGCACATCACGCTGTATCCCATCCAGCCATTACAGTTTGTGATGATATGTTCATCTTGGCTGAATGTAGTCTTGCCCTGCCTGTGTGTAATTGTTTTAAAGTTCCTCACGCGGTCTGCCTCCACTACTGTGGCAACACTCCTGTATGCCTCCTCTTTCCCGAAAATGAGGGTATTGCTTCAGAAGCACCCATTCTATTAGAACAAGCAAACACCTTGGTTGGAGAGCAACAATGTAGCCTATAATGCTGATTGATTAGATAGTTGCCATCTTTGGACTGCACCAATGAGCTCATGCTGATGCATGTACTTGCGCTGCTAAAACAATCGACCATGGCTACTCCAACTTCCGGGATTCATACAAGGCCCTCCCTCGCCCTCCTTTCAGCAAATCTGACCACGACTCCATTTGGCTCCTCCCTTCCTATAGGCTGAAACTCAAACAGGAAGTACCTGTGCTAAGGACTATTCAATGCTGGTCTGACCAATCGGAATCCACGCCTCAAGATTGTTTTGATCACGCGGACTGGGATATGTTCTGGGTAGCTTCAGAGAATAATATCGACGTACAGTGGGGAGAACAAGTATTTGATACACTGCCGATTTTGCAGGTTTTCCTACTTAAAAAGCATGTAGAGGTCTGTAATTTTTATCATAGGTACACTTCAACTGTGAGAGACGGAATCTAAAACAAAAATCCAGAAAATGACATTGTATGATTTTTAAGTAATTAATTTGCTTTTTATTGCATGACATAAGTATTTGATCACCTACCAACCAGTAAGAATTCCGGCTCTCACAGACCTGTTAGTTTTTCTTTAAGAAGCCCTCCTGTTCTCCACTCATTACCTGTATTAACTGCACCTGTTTGAACTCGTTACCTGTATAAAAGACACCTGTCCACACACTCCAACCTCTCCACAATGGCCAAGACCAGAGAGCTGTGTAAGGACATCAGGGATAAAATTGTAGACCTGCAAAAGGCTGGGATGAGCTACAGGACAAGAGGCAAGCAGCTTGGTGAGAAGGCAACAAGATCTCACCTCGTGGGGCATCAATGATCATGAGGAAGGTGAGGGATCAGCCCAGAACTACACGGCAGGACCTGGTCAATGACCTGAAGAGAGCTGGGACCACAGTCTCAAAGAAAACCATTAGTAACACACTACGCCGTCATGGATTAAAATCCTGCAGCGCACGCAAGGTCCCCCTGCTCAAGCCAGCGCATGTCCAGGCCCGTCTGAAGTTTGCCAATGACCATCTGGATGATCCAGAGGAGGAATGGGAGAAGGTCATGTGGTCTGATGAGACAAATATAGAGCTTTTTGGTCTAAACTCCACTCGCCGTGTTTGGAGGAAGAAGAAGGATGAGTACAACCCCAAGAACACCATCCCAACCATGAAGCATGGAGGTGGAAACATCATTCTTTGGGGATGCTTTTCTGCAAAGGGGACAGGACGACTGCACCATATTGAGGGGAGGATGGATGGGGCCATGTATCACGACATCTTGGCCAACAACCTCCTTCCCTCAGTAAGAGCATTGAAGATGGGTCGTGGCTGGGTCTTCCAGCATGACAACGACCTGAAACACACAGCCAGGGCAACTAAGGAGTGGCTCCATAAGAAGCATCTCAAGGTCCTGGAGTGGCCTAGCCAGTCTCCAGATCTGAACCCAATAGAAAATCTTTGGAGGGAGCTGACAGTCCGTATTGCCCAGCGACAGCCCCGAAACCTGAAGGATCTGGAGAAGGTCTGTATGGAGGAGTGAGCCAAAATCCCTGCTGCAGTGTGTGCAAACCTGGTCAAGACCTACAGGAAACGTATGATCTCTGTAATTGCAAACAAAGGTTTCTGTACCAAATATTAAGTTCTGCTTTTCTGATGTATCAAATACTTATGTCATGCAATAAAATGCAAATGAATTACTTAAAAATCATACAATGTGATTTTCTGGATTTTTGTTTTAGATTCCGTCTCTCACAGTTGAAGTGTACCTATGATAAAAATTACAGACCTCTACATGCTTTGTAAGTAGGAAAACCTGCAGAATCGGCAGTGTATCAAATACTTGTTCTCCCCACTGTATATACTGATACGGTGACTGAGTTTATCAGGAAGAATATAGGAGATGTTGTACCCACTGTGACTATTAAAACCTACCCTAACCAGAAACCATGGATAGATGGCAGCATTCGCGCAAAACTGAAAGCACGAACCACCGCATTTAACCATGGCAAGGTGACTGGGCATATGGCAGAATACAAACAGCGTAGTTATTCCCTCCGCAAGGCAATCAAACAGGCAAAATGTCAGCATAGGGACAAAGTGGAGTCGCAATTCAACGGCTCAGACACGAGACGTATGTGGCAGGGTCTACAGACAATCATGGACTACAAAAGGAAAACCAGCCACGTCGCAGACACCGACGTCTTGCTTCCGGACAAGCTAATCACATTCTTCGCCCGCTTTGAGGATAATACAGTGCCACCGACGCGGCCCACTACCAAGGACTGTGGGCTCTCCTTCTCCGTGGCCGACGTAAGTAAAACATTTAAGCGTGTTAACCCTCGCAAGGCTGCCGGTCCAAATGGCATCCCTAGCCGCGTCCTCAGAGCATGCGCATGTTTACGGACATATTAAATCTCTCCCTATCCCAGTCTGCTGTCCCCACATGCTTCAAGATGGCCACCATTGTCCCTGTACCCAAGAAAGCAAAGGTAACTGAACTAAATGACTATCGCCCCGTAGCACTCACTTCTGTCATCATGAAGTGCTTTGAGAGACTAGTCAAAGATCATATCCCCTCTACCTTACCTGCCACCCTAGACCCACTTCAATTTGCTTACCGCCCCAATAGATCCACAGACGATGCAATCGCCATCACACTGCCCTATCCCATCTGGACAAGAGGAATACCTATGTAAGAATGCTGTTCATTGACTATAGCTCAGCATTCAACACCATAGTACCCTTCAAGCTCATCATTAAGCTCGGGCCCTGGGTCTGAACCCCACCCTGTGCAACTGGGTCCTGGACTTCCTGACAGGCCGCCCCCAGGTGGTGAAGGTAGGAAACAACACCTCCACTTCGCTGATCCTCAACACTGGGGCCCCACAAGGGTGCGTGCTCAGCCCCGTCCTGTACTCCCTGTTCACCCATGACTGCGTGGCCAAGCACGCCTCCAACTCAATCATCAAGTTTGCAGATGACACAACAGTAGTAGGCTTGATTACCAACAATGATGAGACAGCCTACAAGGAGGAGGTGAGGGCTCTGGGAGTGTGATGCCAGGAAAATAACCTTACCCAACATCAACAAAACAAAGGAGATGATTGTGGACTTCAGGAAACAGCAGAGGGAGCACCCCCCTATCCACATCGACGGGACCGCAGTGGAGAAGGTGGAAAGCTTCAAGTTCCTCGACATACACATCACTGACAAACTGAAATGGTCCACCCACACAGACAGTGTTGTGAAGAAGGCGCAACAGCGCCTCTTCAACCTCATTTTACATTTACATTTTAGTCATTTAGCAGACGCTCTTATCCAGTTAGTGAATGCATACATTACGACTTACAGTTAGTGAATGCATACATAATTTGTATTTTATTTTTTTATTCATACTGGCCCCCCGTGGGAAACGAACCCACATCCCTGCCGGCCAAACCCTCCTCTACCTTGGACGACGCTGGACCAATTGTGCGCCGCCCATGGGTCTCCCGGTCGCGGCCGGCTGCGACAGAGCCTGGACTCGAACCAGGATCTCTAGTGGCACAGCTAGCACTGCGATGCAGTGCCTTAGACCACTGCGCCACTCGGGAGTCCAACCTCAGGAAGCTGAAGACATTTTGTCTTGGCACCTAAAACCCTCAACCTTTTACAGATGCACAATGGAGAGCATCCTGTCGGGCTGTATCATCGCCTGGTACGGCAACTTCACCGCCCGCAACCGCAGGGCTCTCCAGAGGGTGGTGCAGTCTGCCCAACGCATCACCGGGGGTAAACTACCAGCCCTCCAGGAACCTACAGCACCTGATGTCAAAGGAAGGCCAAAAAGATCACCAAGGACAACAACCACCCGAGCCACTGCCTGTTCACCCCGCTATCATCCAGAAGGTGAGGTCAGTACAGGTGCATCAAAGCTGGGACCGAGAGATTGAAAAACAACTTCTATTTCAAGGCCATCAGACTGTTAAATAGCCTTCACTAGCACATTAGAAGCCACTGGCCACTTTAATAAATGGAACACGAGTCACTTTAATATTGTTTACATATCTTGCATTACTCATCTCATATGTATATACTGTATTATATACTATTCTACTGTATCTTAGTCTATGCCAGTCTGACATTGCTTGTCCATGTATTTATATATTCTTAATTCCATTGATTTACTTAGATTTGTGTGTATTGGGTATATGTTGTGAAATTGTTAGATATTACTTGTTAGATATACTGCACTGTCGGAGCTAGAAACACAAGCATTTCACTACACCCGCAATAACCTCTGCTAAACACGTGTATGTGACCAATAAAATTTGATTTGATCAGTGAAATCATACTTCTCAGATTACTGTCAATGTATTTATAATGCAGCCCCAGTAATGATCTCTGTGTTATTGGAGTCAGGTAAATGATTAGCCATTATGTATTATTAGAGTCAGGTAAATTATCAGTCATTATGCCTACATGCCTGAGTTATTATGCATTTGAATTAGGCCAGTCTGACGGGGCTGTAGTCCGTACTCTACATCACTACGTATGCATAGCTGACCGATTCATTACAGAATTTTGTGGCTTAAATCTCCTTGTCCTTATTTGATGATTATGTTTTCTTAAAGTGGCACTCCAGTCTCCTTTTCACCTCATCTAACAACTGATTTACTTAACAAAAGGGACATCTCAATAGGTGTCCAAGTCATGACACAAGTAGGGAAGTGGGCCTTTCCTCTTTTGTTCTCTACTGCTCCTCTATTGTTCCTCAAGCGAGGGGGAGGCCATCAGACCAACTCCTTGAATGCTTTACTCCTTGAAGTTTGTAGTTTGTAGTCTTTTGCTCAAAACCATATATTTTTTTACCCATGAGTGTATGTACTTTCAACAGGACAACTTGAAAAATCACTGAACTCTAACCTTGATAACTGTTCGCAGCATTGTGTTCTCATAGTGTATGGGAAAGGGGCATAAAGGAATTAGCCTAAGTGTTCAGGAAAGACACAGTTATTCAGGGTAAATTATCATAGAGAAGAAAGTTCAAGAAGCGTTTCTCACAATGAAATTGCGCTGACAGTTGGTTAACCGGCCATATGACTTCGTCTTTCTTTCTTTCTCTTTCTTTCTTTCTTTCTTTGTGTCATTCTTTTAATTTTCTCCTATCCTCTTATTTCACTGCCCTCTTCTTTCTCCCTCTCAGAGCATTTCTCAAAACACCTATTTTTCCATTGTTACCAGGAGACGAGTCCCAGCACAGACAGTGCAGCCAAAAGGCTGAAACATTGGAACATCTGGACCTAATGGAGAAAGGGTTCTGCAGACACATAAAGGAGGATATACAGAGAAGAGTGATGATCAGACAGTAAATGTAGAACAACAGTTACGGTAAAAAGGGAAGGGATATCAGTTCAAACAAAGAGAGGTAGAGGAAAGCAGCAGAAGAATGAATATACAGACCAATGAATGACCACATGGAACTCTCTTCCACATCAGCTAATGGGGATCCTAATTCAAAAATACTAAATACTACATATAATATAGAATCAGAGGGGACAGCTCATAATAATGGCTGAAACGGAGCAAATGGAATAGTATTAAACACATGGAAAACATGTGCTTGATGTATTTGATACCATTCCAGCTATTCCGCTCCAGCCATTACCACGAGCCCGTCCTCCCCAATTAAGGTGCCACCAACCTCCTGTGGTGTCTAACATTCTCTTTGTATTCACATGTATTTTTCTGAAAGCAAAACATTGTGCACACACACAGCCATATGTTCATCATACTTCCTACATCAGTCTTTGAATCTTACAATTCGAGATGTCTGCCTGAATTTCCACTTAGCTAAATGTTATGCCACCACAGAAATGTCTGCTTGGAGTTGGTATTCTGATGTGGGGCAAAAGGAAAATCTATCTTCGTCCACGAGTAAGATACTTTTTAAAACAATGGAGGAGAGGAAAAGGCAGACCCAAATGAAAGCGGTCAAAGCTGAAGCCTGCTCTCCCACATTAGACAAATAATCATTACATTTTACATTTAAGTCATTTAGCAGACGCTCTTATCCAGAGCGACTTACAGTTAGTGAATGGATACATGTTTATTTTTTATTTTTTATTATATATTTGTAGTATAATTTTTTAGTTATTTATTTCTATTATATATGTTTTATTATTACTATTATTATTATATTTTTTGTAATTTTTTCCCCCATACTTTTTAATCATGCAGGCAATAAGGTAATGAGGGTTGTCATTTGAAAGTATTGAAGTCCAGAGGGTAGCAACATCTATTAGAACCAGATGAAGCTCCATTTTACCCAATCGTTAGGTATGCCCCGACAGATCCACCTGGAAAAAGGGAATACATATGTGAGGATGCTGTTCATCGACTACAAATCAAATTAAATCAAATTTTATTGGCCACATGCGCCGAATACAACAGGTGCAGACATTACAGTGAAATGCTTACTTACAGCCCTTAACCAACAGTGCATTTATTTTTAACAAAAAAGTAAAAATAAAACATCAACAAAAAAAGTGTTGAGAAAAAAAGAGCAGAAGTAAAATAAAATAACAGTAGGGAGGCTATATATACAGGGGGGTACCGGTGCAGAGTCAATGTGCGGGGGGCACCGGCTAGTTGAGGTAGTTGAAGTAATATGTACATGTGGGCAGAGTTAAAGTGACTATTCATAAATAATTAACAGAGTAGCAGCAGTGTAAAAGGATGGGGTGGGGGGGCAGTGCAAATAGTCCGGGTAGCCATGATTAGCTGTTCAGGAGTCTTATGGCTTGGGGGTAGAAGCTGTTGAGAAGTCTTTTGGACCTAGACTTGGCACTCCGGTACCGCTTGCCGTGCGGTAGCAGAGAGAACAGTCTATGACTAGGGTGGCTGGAGTCTTTGACAATTTTGAGGGCTTTCCTCTGACACCGCCTGGTATAGAGGTCCTGGATGGCAGGAAGCTTGGCCCCAGTGATGTACTGGGCCGTACGCACTACCCTCTGTAGTGCCTTGCGGTCGGAGGCCAAGCAGTTGCCATACCAGGCGGTGATGCAACCAGTCACAATGCTCTCGATGGTGCAGCTGTAGAACTTTTTGAGGATCTGAGGACCGATGCCAAATCTTTTCAGTCTCCTGAGGGGGAATAGGCTTTGTCGTGCCCTCTTCACAACTGTCTTGGTGTGTTTGGACCATGATAGTTCGTTGGTGATGTGGACACCAAGGAACTTGAAGCTCTCAACCTGTTCCACTACAGCCCCGTCGATGAGAATGGGGGCGTGCTCAGTCCTCTTTTTTTTCTTGTAGTCCACAATCATCTCCTTTGTCTTGGTCACGTTGAGGGAGAGGTTGTTGTCCTGGCACCACACGGCCAGGTCTCTGACCTCCTCCCTATAGGCTGTCTCATCGTTGTCGGTGATCAGGCCTACCACTGTTGTGTCGTCGGCAAACTTAATGATGGTGTTGGAGTCGTGCCTGGCCATGCAGTCATGGGTGGACAGGGAGTACAGGAGGGGACTGAGCACGCACCCCTGAGGGGCCCCCGTGTTGAGGATCAGTGTGGCAGATGTGTTGTTACCTACCCTTACCACTTGGGGGCGGCCCGTCAGGAAGTCCAGGATCCAGTTGCAGAGGGAGGTGTTTAGTCCCAGGATCCTTAGCTTAGTGATGAGCTTTGAGGGCACTATGGTGTTGAATGCTGAGCTGTGGTCAATGAATAGCATTCTCACGTAGGTGTTCCTCTTGTCCAGGTGGGAAAGGGCAGTGTGGAGTGCAATAGAGATTGCATCATCTGTGGATCTGTTGGGGCGGTATGCAAATTGGAGTGGGTCTAGGGTTTCTGGGATAATGCTGTTGATGTGAGCCATGACCAGCCTTTCAAAGCACTTCATGGCTACAGACGTCAGTGCTACGTTTTGGTCTTCAATACCATAGTCCCCTCTAAACTCACCACAAAGCTCTCGGCCTTGGGACTTAACTCCTCCCTATGGAACTGGGTCCTAAACTTCCTGACGGGCCACCCCCAGGTGGTGAAGTTAGGTAACATCTCCTCCTCCACACTGACCCTCAACACAGGGGAATAGTTCCAACTCCATCATCAAAATCGCTGATGACACGACAGTCATAGGCATGATTACCAACAACGACGAGACGGCCTACAGAGAGAAGGTAGTCACTCTGACGGCATGGTGCCAGGTAAACAACTCCTCCCTCAACGTCAGCAAAACAAAGGAGCTGATTGTAGACCGTGGAGACGGTCAAAAACGTCAAAGTTCCTCGGCGTACAGATCTCTGAGGAGCTGAAATGGTCAAACCACAAAGACACCGTGATGAAGAAAGCAGGAGGCTGAAGAAATTTGGCCTGTTCCCAAGGGCCCTCACAATGTTGGACAGGAGCACCATCGAGAGCATACTGTTGGGCTGCATCACAGCCTGGTACGGCAACTCCACCACCGCTGACCACAAGGATCTACAGATGACGCACACTGCCTGCCCTCCAGGACACCTACAACACCAAGTGTCGCAGGAAGGCCAAGAAAATCATCAGGGACCTCAGCTACCCAAGCCACAGCCTGTTCTACCCGCTTTCATTACTCAGACGTGGGCAATATAGGAGCATCATAGCAAAAAAAGACTGCCGAATAGTTTCTAACCCCTGCCCCCCCTTACCCCCCAATGGACATTTATCCTTGTTACTCACGCATGGATAAATATCCTTATTTACACACTTTGCCACTTTTAACTGCAACAAGTGTATAGAATTTAAAACTAGTTGTAAATAAATAATAAATATATATATATATATATATATATATATAGATCTCTGAGGAGGTACAAAGGTAAACACAGTTCTTGGAAATCTACAGTGCATTCGGAAAGTATTCAGACCCCTTGACTTTTTCCACATTTTGTTACGTTACAGCCTTATTCTAAAATGGTTTAAATTGTGTTTTTTTCCTTCATCAATCTACACACAATACCCCATAATTTGCACACAAAGAAACGAAATGAAAAATGAAATTAAACATTTACATTAGTATTCAGACCCTTTACTCAGTACTTTGTTGAAGTACCTTTGGCAGTGATTACAGCCTTGAGTCTTCTTGGGTATGACACTACAAGCTTGGCACACCTGTATTTGGGGAGTTTCTCCCATTCTTCTTGCAGATCCTCTCAAGCTCTGTAAGGGTGGATGGGGAGCGTCGCTGCACAGCTATTTTCAGGTCTCTCCAGAGATGGTCGATCGGGTTCAAGTCCGGGCTCTGGCTGGGCCACTCAAGGACATTCAGAGACTTGTCCCGCAGCCACCCCTACGTTGTCTTGGCTGTGTGCTTAGGGTCTTTGTCCTGTTGGAAGGTGAACCTTCAACCCAGTCTGAGGTCCTGAGCGCTCTGGAGCAGGTTTTCATCAAGGATCTCTCTGTACTTTGCTCCATTCATCTTTCCCCTCGATCCTGACTAGTCTCCCAGTCCCTGCCGCTGAAAAACATACCCACAGCATGATGCTGCCACCACCATGATTAACCATAGGGATGGTGCCAGGTTTCCGCCAGACGTGACGCTTGGCATTCAGGCCAAAGAGTTCAATCTTGGTTTCATCAGACCAGAGAATCTTGTTTCTCTTGTTTGCAAAAAAATCAAAAACCTGTTTTCGCTTTCTCATTATGGGGTATTGTGTGTAGATTGATGAGGATTTTAAAAAAATGTAATACATTTTAGAATAAGGCTGTAACGTAACAAAATGTGGGAAAAAAACAAGGAGTCTGAATACTGTCCGAATGCACTGTATGTAACTCAAGAAAACAGAGGACAGGTAAACACTGCTGTTGTGATAAGTTTTAAAGAGGCTCCTTCCAAAGTGTGTTGCATTATGGGGATAACATTTTCAGAATTGTCCCAATGCTTGATCAATGCCCCTCTGGGGAAGGAAATACCACATATGTTTTGTAAGATGCTGGTTTTCAAAGATGCTGGAAACAAATATATATATTTTCCCCATTAGGTTATATATTTTTTTGTAGTCAGAATGCCTTCAACATTGTATAAAGTATACATAAATATAGCAATTATGTTATATCAGATTGTTTATTTGATAAGTGTAATAGCCATTGAGAAAACACTTAAATTTTTTTCAATGGCAATAGTAATTTTTGCCAGCATATGGCAAAATAAAAAATAAATGGTTTCATATGGCACCAGGGGGCATGATAATAACAATAACATTCCTGAACATGTTCAAGTATCAGGGCCTGATTACCGAACAGGCATGCAGGGCATGTGCCCCGGGGCCCCCAACCCCCAAAAAAGATGTTGGGGGGCCCCCAGATACAGTGGGGGAAAAAAGTATTTAGTCAGCCACCAATTGTGCAAGTTCTCCCACTTAAAAAGATGAGAGAGGCCTGTAATTTTCATCATAGGTACACGTCAACTATGACAGACAAATTGAGAGAAAAAAATCCAGAAAATCACATTGTAGGATTTTTAATGAATTTATTTGCAAATTATGGTGGAAAAAAAGTATTTGGTCACCTACAAACAAGCAAGATTTCTGGCTCTCACAGACCTGTAACTTCTTCTTTAAGAGGCTCCTCTGTCCTCCACTCGTTACCTGTATTAATGGCACCGGTTTGAACTTGTTATCAGTATAAAAGACACCTGTCCACATCCTCAAACAGTCACACTCCAAACTCCACTATGGCCAAGACCAAAGAGCTGTCAAAGGACACCAGAAACAAAATTGTAGATCCTGCAGTGCCAGACGTGTCCCCTGCTTAAGCCAGTACATGTCCAGGCCCGTCTGAAGTGCATTTGGATGATCCAGAAGAGGATTGGGAGAATGTCATATGGTCAGATGAAACCAAAATAGAACTTTTTGGTAAAAACTAAACTCGTCCTGTTTGGAGGACAAAGAATGCTGAGTTGCATCCAAAGAACACCATACCTACTGTGAAACATGGGGGTGGAAACATCATGCTTTGGGGCTGTTTTTCTGCAAAGGGACCAGGATGACTGATCCGTGTAAAGGAAAGAATGAATGGGGCCATGTATCGTGAGATTGAGTGAAAACCTCCTTCCATCAGCAAGGGCATTGAAGATGAAACATGGCTGGGTCTTTCAGCATGACAATGATCCCAAACACACCGCCCGGGCAACGAAGGAGTGGCTTCGTAAGAAGCATTTCAAGGTCCTGGAGTGGCCTAGCCAGTCTCCAGATCTCAAACCCATAGAAAATCTTTGGAGGGAGTTGAAAGTCCGTGTTGCCCAGCGACAGCCCCAAAACATCACTGCTCTAGAGGAGATCTGCATGGAGGAATGGGCCAAAATACCAGCAACAGTGTGTGAAAACCTTGTGAAGACTTACAGAAAACGTTTGACCTGTGTCATTGCCAACAAAGGGTATATAACAAAGTATTGAGAAACTTTTGTTATTGACCAAATACTTATTTTCCACCATAATTTGCAAATAAATTCATTAAAAAAAAAAAATCCTCATTTTGTCTGTCATAGTTGACGTGTACCTATGATGAAAATTACAGGCCTCTCTCATCTTTTTAAGTGGGAGAACTTGCACAATTGGTGGCTGACTAAATACTTTTTTCCCCCCACTGTAGCTAAATGTGCAGAATTTCTGAAAATGTGCTTTAAAGCTGCAACATTTTCTCTCAGCCTCATGGTAAAATGTGTTGAATAGCAGGAAATTAGCTTTAAAAATGCAACATTTTCTCTTAGCCTCATGACAAAATGTGTAGAATAGCATTATAAAACTGCACATTTTTCTCTCTGCACCATGGCTAAATGTGTTGAAATGCGGTAAATTAGCTGCTCCCCCTCAGTGTCCCGGGGCCCCAAATGCGGTAGTCCGGCCCTGCCAAGTATGACATCATGACAACATTTGAAAATGTTGGGTGCCTTAGAGTGGATCACTTCTGTCAAGCCTTCCAAAGTGTGTTGCATTATTGGGATAAAATTGTCCAACTTGCGCCTACATGACTACTGCATGAACTTTACAAAAACCACGTGATCAAAGCTCATTAAATTTTGACTGCAGTCGACTGCAAGTTTCTACAGTTGCTCTTTACCAACTCCATCCTGCAGCCATAGATTGCATTGTGGGAGGCTCTATCGTCAACCAATCATTAGGGTGTTTATGTTTGACCCACACAAACGTGACCAAACAGGAACCAACTTTGCCAAGATTCATGTCCACCAGTGGTCACCAACCTTTTCTGAGTCAAGATCACTATCTCAGTCAAAAAGCAAGTTGAGATGTACCGCTCAGATTATTATTTATTTTTTACATTACTTAAAAAATGTAACATTATCCTAATAAAATAATTTGATTTGTGCAGTAGGCCTAATACATTATCACAGCATATTGGCTATATACCTGGCCTGCCAATATTGTTCTTCTCAGACCATATTATATTTCAAAACTCGAGCTTTGATAACAAAATAGATCAGTTGGTGTAGCACTTGTGAGGCACAGCTGAGCATACATTTAAATAATTTGCTGTTTTATTTTACTGGATTGATGGTACCTGCATCTGTCATGGTGCTTTCAAGACACCTGGGAACTCTGAAAAAAAAACGAGGTCAAATCATGTGATCTTCAGGTCGGAAAGACGGAGCTCTAGAAAGATGCCAGATTAATCCGACTCCGATGACCATTCAAAATGATTGTTCCCAGTCAGATGTCGGAAGTCTGAGATTTCCGAGTTTCCAGTTGAGCACAGCATTAGTCTCAGCCTCTCACCGTCACATTGTCCTTAAGAAATTTACACGGGTAAGCCTACACGAAACACAGCCCTTATTTTAAGTGTTTCTAAAATCCCCTATCGGAAAAATTATTGGAACCATTTCACTGTTGACCGCTAGGTTTTATGGGTATTATGATTCATACTGTGATACTCTATAGGAACACTTTGCCTACCTGGTGCGCAGGGCTTCTGAATGAAGTACACCTTCTACAAACAGCGCAACACAAAAAAAAAGCGCTAAAAAGGCTTTTCTACAGAAATGTTTGGTGATCAACTAGGAATGCATTGAAGATCGACCGGTTGGTGACCACTGATGTATACTGTGGATATGTACAAATGAATGTGATATTTGAGTCTCGCTCTCACCAACTAATAGTACATTGTACACACAGTTCTGAACTCCCCCAATAGTACATGACAAGCAGCGGAGAGGTAAGGTGGAAAGAGAATGTTGAATGACAAACTCACTTGTCCAGAACGAAGTAGAGGTCAAAGCCCCCGAAGCAGGATGGTCCAGTCTCCCCCCTGTCCTCGTTGTGCCCAGCGTTACCAGCTATCAGCACCACAAGCACACTCACAACACCAAGCAGCACTAGTAACCAGGAGCCTCTGCACCCATATAAAGACATTATTCCAGATTGGAGGAGCCTATTTCACGTAATAGGAAGACTAAAACCACCTTGGAAAACAAGTGGAGAAAAACCTTTCCTTAGTACAAAAACAACTGTTCCTTATTTATGTATCTTCATCCAGTATTCTTCAGACTTGAAAATAAGTTATCTGAAAGGGTTCAGTCGCTGCAGAGAATGCACTGATGTTATGAATTCAGTCTGTCTCAATTGAGTCAGGAGGCTCTAATCACTGGGTAAGAGACAAGCAAGCCCAGGAAACACACACATGCACTGAGCCCCACAGCAGCAAACTCCTCTTGTCTTCCTTAGTTGCTATTTTCTTACTGTTGGGAAGTAGGACGAAGTAAGTGCATTCCAGGCAGCTCCACAGAAAACGATGTAATTGTGTCTGACTTAGTCCTTTTCCAAAACTCTCTGACTTTCTTTTCCTTTTTTTCACATGGTTGAAGAGGGAATTAAAACAAGAGGTGAGAAAGACAAACTCCACTTCTACTGCCATCTAGTGGTTACAATCGGTGGTGACAAGGTTCCAAATCAGGAGCTCATCTGGGGCCTCTTATCAACCATGCATACATTTGTCACTAAATTCTGGCATATGTGGAGATTCTAGTATTTGCGTGCGCATCAAATTATTGGGATTTATCAAACTGTCGCAACATATACGCATATTTTCATTGATAAATCAGAGCCATACTATATTTGTGCGCTTGTGAACGAGCGTTACAATTACAGCCCCGCCTGCAAAACGCCCTCCATTATCCCTTTATGGTAACAAAAACGCCCTCATTTGCTGTATGATTTGGAGATGTTGGAACTGGGCCTTGACAGTTTCTAAAGCCAGTGGCAAATTTGATCACATTTATTTAAATCTAATTTTAATATTTTGCTGTAACTTTTTTCAAAATAAAATGCATGCAGCAAGTGCTAAATGGCCGCGCATTCTGCTAGTTTGATTGTCTATTCGAACTAAACGGAAATACTACAGCACACTTCTATGGAAAATACAAATTCAATATATTGTTTATCAGTAGATGATTGTGTTTCTATCTCATACCTTGGTATAGGCTCTGAATTTAAATAGGCTCCTACCGCACAGCAATACTGTAGCCTACCCATACTGTCAAATATTTTAAATAGGCTACCGGATCTATACTTTTGAGCATGATAGGCTATTAAATGAGCGATGGATAAATGGTAGCCTAATAGTTTTTGTGTAGCGGGAATAAACCAGTCTTGTCAGAAAATGAGAGACATGTCTGAAAAGACTGCGCACCTATAAAAATATTGACATGTACAGTATATTTATACAAAAAAATCACAGCAGTTGTGATGGAAACAGGAAGTTTCGGTACCATTTTATAAACGCAGACAGATCATTTGTTCATTGGACATGGTGGGATCTTTTTCTGTCTGTAAAATGTATTATGCGAGAAATGGCGGTGGAAACGCCTTTATGTGCAAATATTGATATAATAACCATCATATGGAAGTACACTTGGAGTCGCGCCTCCCACTACAACTCGGGAAACCATGCAGTTTATGAGGCTACAGATTCAATAAATTATGATGAACTTCACAGGGTGGTGAAAGTGCAAGGTGATGAGCTTGATGCTCCTTTCCAATAAATATCTAGGGTCTTATTCTGGTACATGATGATCGATGCTTGACTGCCATTTGACAAATATTATTGCTCTTATCCATAATAATCTCATCATGTAGACTAGCCTACCCCCACAGCCTACTGTATCTGCGAGCTGTTGGAGTGCACATGCCAATACCAGAGTAGGCACATTTGCTATTTAACACAACAGTTTCTGTGACAAAACTACACTATATATACAAAAGTATGTGGACACCGATTCAAATGAGTTGATTCGCCTATTTCAGCCACACCCGTTGCTGACAGGTGTATAAAATCGAGCACACAGCCATGCAATCTCCATAGACAAACATTGGCAGTAGAATGGCCTTACTGAAGAATTCAGTGACTTTCAACGTGGCACCGTCATAGGATGCTACCTTACCAACAAGTCAGTTCTTAAAATGTCTGCCCTTCTAGAGCTGCCCCGGTCAACTGTAAGTGCTGTTATTGTGAAGTAGAAACACCTAGGAGCAACAACAGCTCAGCTGTGAAGTGGTAGGCCACACAAGCTCACAGAACGGGACCGCCTAGCATGTAAAAAATCATCTGTCCTCGGTTGCAACACTCACCACCGAGTTCCAAACTGTCTCTGGAAGCAACGTCAGCATAATAACTGTTTGTCGGGAGCTTCATGAAATGGGTTTCCATGGCCGAGCAGCTCCACACAAGCCTAAGATCACCATGCGCAATGCCAAGCGTCGGCTGGAGTGGTGTAAAGCTCGCCAACTCCATATTAATGCCCATGATTTTGGAATGAGATGTTCGACGAGCAGGTGTCCACATACGTTTGGTTATGTAGTGTATCTGTAGAGTTGAAAATGCGATGGAAACACAATGAACTAAAGATTTTTATTCGGTACATGAAAACATGTACTACGTCATCACGCATTGATTTTTACCTGCAACAAATCCATTTGGTGGAAACCCACCACTGGTGGCAAGATCTGCATATTTTCTTTATGAGGATTCTAGAATATTCGCATGAAAATCTGTCTCCAATTGGATGGAAACCTAGCTATTGTCTAGTATGTCTACTCCAAAATGTTTTTAACTACAGTGGTAGCCTACAAACTTCAAAGCAAAATATCAACTATCTGTTCATCTGTTAAATTCTACTGCATATTATAAACCGCGCTCCCTTTGGGATGTATAGATCACAATAGGTTACTTGAAATAATAGCCTGTCTAATAAGCCTAATTAAATTAAAGACTCTCATAGTAATTTGTTGTAGGCTAAAGCTTCTTCTGGAATATGAACCCATCATGGCCAGAACAGGTGGTGAGGAATTTATTCTGCAATGGTTATGAAAATATGTATTATGTAGGCCTATTATGTTTATAAATTTTATATTGTTTACTTGAGACATGAAAAAATTTAAATGGAAAAGGTTAACCTTCTGTTCTACGTTACACTGAACTCCGGCCCGGATCGTATAGAGCAATACTACTGTAAAGTGGGTCCAATGAAATGAGAGATGCGACATTGTAGGCCTATAGGCTACTTTGCGAGTATGAACCATCACCGTCAGAAAATGTGAGCAATTTATTCTGCAATGATCATGGAAATGAAATAGGAAATAGATGCCTATTTCTAACTATTTTACCAGCTTTTCACCAGCTAGGTTTCCATCCAATTGGCAACAGATTTTCATGTGAATATTTTGAAATCCACATAAATAAAGTATGCACATTTTCCCACCAGAGATGTGTTTCCATCAAATTGACTTGTTGCGGATAAAAGTGTGTGATGACATAGTGCAAATTCCCATTACAGGGTGTGTGATGACATAGTGCAAATTCCCATGTACAGGGTTTCCCAAAGTGTTTTTTTTTTTTATAAGCGTGTCATCATATACCCAATCTGCACAAAATACTAGGCTACTTGCCTGCTTGCAATGCAATACTTTAACCACTCATGGTCTAAAGTTTGCAGGAAGCTAAGCACATTGACACATCAAATTCCATTTTTATCAGGGGCACAACTTTTAGAAGTTTTTAGAAGTGGGGGGGGACATAACTTTTTGATTTTTTTTTATCCAGTTGGATAAACACTCCAAACAACCTACCCGACCGCTCTGAGAAGTCTGCATGGTCCTAAAGCACACCGTTGCCTCGTTTTGTATCACATTCCAATGATAAAACTGGGGGGGGGGGGGGGGGGGGGGGGGGTTTCAGCCAACTTTTGCTGAAAACTGGCACATGCATGTTTTGGGGTATATTTTGGACATATGCAACATTTATAAATGAGGCCACTGGACTTCAAACCTGTTACATTCAGTTCCTTCTACACTGAACAAAAATATAAACGCATCATGTAAAGTGTTAGTTTCATGTTTCATGAGACCCCAGAAATAAAAGATCCCAGAAATGTTCGATACTCACAAAAAGCTTATTTCTCTCAGCTTTTGTGCACACATTTGTTTACATCCCTGTTAGTGAGCATTTCTCCTTTGCCAAAATAATCCATCCACCTGACAGGTGTGGCACATCAAGAAGCTGATTAAACAGAATGATCATTACACAGGTGCACCTTATGCTGGGGACAATAAAAGACAACACAATGCCACAGTTGTCTCAAGTCTTGACGGAGCATGAAATTGGCATGCTGACCGCAGGAATGTCCACCAGAGCTGTTGCCAGAGAATTTAATGATCATTTTAGAGAATTTGGAAGTACGTCCAATCGGCCTCACAACCGCAGACCACGTGTAACCACGGCAGCCCAGGACCTCCACATCTGAGACCAGCCACCCGGACAGCTGATGAAACTGTGGGTTTGCACAACCAAATAATTTCTGCACAAACTGTCAGAAACCGTCTCAGGGAAGCTCATCTGCGTGCTCGTCGTCCTAACCAGGGTCTTGACCTGACTGCCGTTCAGTGTTGTAACTGATTTCAGTGGGCAAATGCTCACCTTCGATGGCCACTGGCACGCTGGAGAAGTGTGCTCTTCACGGATTAATCCCTGTTTCAACTGTACCGGGCAGATGACAGACAGCGTGTTTGGCGTCGTGTGGGCGAGCGGTTCGCTGATGTCAATGGTGGTGGTGGGGTTATAGTATGGGCAGGCATGAGCTATAGACAACAAACACAATTGTATTTTATCGATGGCAATTTGAATGCACAGAGATACTGTGATGAGATCCTGAGGTCCATTGTCGTGCCATTCAGCTGTCGCCATCACCTCATATTTCAGCATGATAATGCACAGTCCCACGTCGCAAGGATCTGTACACAATTCCTGGATGCTGAAAATGTCCCAGTTCTTCCATGGCCGGCATACTCATCTGAAGATGCAGGCCATACTCATTGAGCATGTTTGGGATGCTCTGGATCGACGTGTACGACAGCGTGTTCCAGTTCCCTCCAATATCCAGCAACTTCGCACAGCCATTGAAGTGGAGTGGGACAACATTCCACAGGCCACAATCAACAGCCTGATCAACTCTATGCGAAGGAGATGTGTCGCGTACATGAGGCAAATGGTGGTCACACCAGATACTGACTGGTTTTCTGATCCACGCCCCTACTTTTTTTTAAAGGTATCTGTGACCAACAGATGCATATCTGTTTTCCCAGTCATGTGAAATACATAAATTAGGGCCTAATTTATTTATTTCAATTGACTGATTTCCTTATATGAACTGTAACTCAGTAAAATCTTTGAAATTCTTGCATGTTGCGTTTATATTTTTGTTCAGTGTAATTAGCTAAAATGCTCCTTTGGAATGCTAGACGTTCAAGTTATACTTTCATTTTTGCCTTAAGTAACCTTCTGTCTCATGTAACCATACCAATCATAACATATAATACTAATTTCAGTGGCCAGGATTTACGTTCACCATGTTACGTCTACTCTACGAGACCAGGCTGGCACAGTGCAACCTGCAAATATCCCTTAGTATACACTGAGTGTACAAAACATTAAGAACACCTACCTAATATTGAGTTGCACCCCCCTCTGAACAGCCTCAATTTGTTGGGGCATGGACTCTACAAGGTGTCGAAAGCGTTCCACAGGGATGCTGGCCCATGTTGACTCCAATACTTCCCACAGTTGTGTCAAGTTGGCTGGATGTCCTTTGGGTAGTGGGCCATTCTTGATACACAGGAAACGGTTGAGCGTGACAAATCCCTGCAGCGTTGCAGTTCTTGACACAACCTGGTGCGCCTGGCACCTATTACCATACCTTGTTCAAAGGCACTTAAATATTTATCCAGAGTGACTTACAGGAGCAATTAGAACCAGCGACCTTTCAGTTACTGGCACAACGCTCTTAACCACAAAGCTACCTGCCCCCCATGCCAGCTGCTCATTCTCTGGTTTGTGGGGTGTCCGGCTGGCACACTGCTGCAGTTTGGGTGGCTCATGAGGAATGTCCAGGCACACAGGAGGTTCAGTGAGGGCACACTGCTTCTTCTCTTCTCCCTCGACTGGCTGAAGCACAGATCTGGTGGTGCCTGAGTCGAGGCCCTTGGTACCAGCAGAGTAGTGGTGGTTCTGCCCGTTGTCAAGGATGAGGCCCTTAGCGCTGGCAGCATGGTGGTTTTTCTGCCCAGTGTTGTGGACGGAGACCTCTGAGCAGGCAGCAGGGTGGTGGCCCTGCCCAGTGTCAGGGACCATGGTGCCAGCAGAGGTGTGGTGGCTCTGCCCGGTGTTGAGGGCGGTGTGGGGTTCTATTTTCTCATAACTGGATGGGATGACTAACTTAGAAAGAATGCATTAATGATTAAAGCATAAAAGGTCTGTACTGTACTGATATGAATTGTTTCACATAACAGGCTGTGATTCATGTGAGGAACGTTAGGGGCTAGGATGAGATAAAACTTGTATTTCTTATAGATAAGACTTGTATTTCTCACAGATACGAACACTGCCTCTTTGTTGTCTGTGAACCGTCCTTGAACGTAGTACAGTGGAATGGTGTCTTTTGGGTGCTAACTCCACAGGTTATTATGATAGCAATTTATGCCTGGGAACGGTGGAGCGCATTGTGGGGTTCTATTTTCTCATAACTGGATGGGATGACTAACTTAGAAAGAATGCATTAATGATTAAAGCATAAAAGGTCTGTACTGTACTGATATGAATTGTTTCACATAACAGGCTGTGATTCATGTGAGGAACGTTAGGGGCTAGGATGAGATAAAACTTGTATTTCTTATAGATAAGACTTGTATTTCTCACAGATACGAACACTGCCTCTTTGTTGTCTGTGAACCATCCTTGAACGTAGTACAGTGGAATGGTGTCTTTTGGGTGCTAACTCCACAGGTTATTATGATAGCAACTTATGCCTGGGAACGGTGGAGCGCCAAGGGGTTGGGACCAGCCCGTGCGCCAACGGATTGGCTGAGTAAGTCTAAACCACGCTCAGTCTCTACTCTGATTGGCCAGCAGAGAGTGGGAACTATCTCTGTCAGAGTATTTGAAGAAGAACCTGTAACAATGGATTAGTTCTTTGTCTGCCCTGCGTGGTATTTCAGTGAGCCCGTATACGAACCAACATACTTATCATACATACATTTTGCATATAATACATTTAGCTTGGATTGAATATCTCTTGATTATGTTTTCTCTTATTCCAATACCAGATTTGAATTACGCAATTTCTAACAGCGGAGACCTTGGAGCTGGCAGCAGGGTGATGGCCCTGCCCTGCGTCCAGACCCTCGGTGAAAGCAGAGCGCATCGCCATTGTCGGAGAACTCACCATCGCAGTGCTCCCGTTGCTGGACTGGTCACCGAGGCTGGGGTCACCGTCACTGGGGTGTTCACCGTCTTTGGGGGGCTCACCGTCGCTCGGGTGTTCACCGATGCTGGGTGGCTCCACCTTCACTGGGGACACCGTTGCTGGGGGCAGCACTGGCACTTCTCTCCTCCCCCTCTCCTCCGGCTTTGCTGATGGGACTGGGTAACTGCTTGAAGACCAGGGCTGCACACTTATCCTCTCCTTTTGGACCCAACTCATTTCCATCAGGTCCCATATCCTGTCAATCTTCTCCTCCAGGTATGCTGGAAGCCAAGCAGGGACTCGCTCAACTTTAGATACCATGAAAAAATCCAGTTGAGGAAAAAATAAAATGTTGCACAAAAATGCAAAATAGCCCTGGCTGTGCCTCTGTAGCGCAGGGTCTTGTTCTCACTGCGCTAGCTGCCTTGGGTTGCCATAGCAATGAGTTCAAGGCATGAGTAGCCACTGTGGAAGAAGGGGAGACCCCTAGCTAACTAGCTAGCAACTGAATCTAGCTAACAAGCATGCCAGCTAGCTAGCAATGTCATGATCAGTGAGAACGTCCAAAAACACACAAAAACGTCTGAAAGTTCACAGAAATGATTGGTTGGCTCACAAAAAGAACACAAAAAATCAAATACAATTCTGACACCAGTGTGATGTTTATGATTTGATGGTCTTGTCCTCTTCAGCCTTCAGATGACTGTTAGCTAGCTAACTGAACTAAGTTACTGTACTGCAACATTAGCTGGCTATAAACTGTACTGTTGTAGCTCCACAGATCTTCTCTCTTCAGGATGTTTATTGTAGATAAGTTATAACACTTTAGTTACTGTATAGCTCCAGTTCAGATCACGCATAGGTGTCTATATCAGGGCCATATAACAGAACTGAGGAACCAACACTAAACATAACTTACAACATCATGACAATTGGAACATACAGCTGTCAATCATGTAGGGATCAAAGTAGTCGGGACATACTACTTCTGTGGCACAACAATATTTTCCATAACCAAAAATATTGTATTTTCAGCTGTTTCAAGCAGGTGTACAAAACCTAAAGTAAAAGACTCAAGAACTTAAGAATGGGAAGAACATAAATAGCACACATAGAACAGATATACAGCTTCTTCGACTTGTTTTCAATGAGAATGACAGATCTATAACTCATATTTCTATATAATTTAGTGGGGTTGCCCAAACATTTACATATTGCAGCTTTAAAACAGCAACATTTTCTCTCAGCCTCATGGCAAAATGTGTAGAATAGCACGAGATTGGGGCTCCATAACATCCACCGTCCTTAGGAAATAGGAATCCAGAAGAAGAAGAAGAAGAAGAAGAAGAAGAAGAAGAAGAAGAAGAAGAAGGCCTACCTAAGGAGCTGAGAGACGCTGATGTCTCGATAAGGAGACGTATACTTGGATGGCGGAGGAGGAATGGAAGGAAAAAGAGAGGCAGAGGAGGTCTAAGAGAGAGAGGGAGGAAGATTGTGAGCTTGAATCGGGAAAAATGGCGGGAGATGGTTTGGTAAAGAAGAATGGTAGGAAATGTAAGCAAAGTGAGCTGAAAACAGGAGGAGAAATGGAAGTGAATGAGGGTGAAGTATCGGAGGTGGTAGGTATGGTGAAGTACTCGGAGCCAGAGGCTTGCACAGAGGGTCAGGATAAAGACGAGTCTGTGACAGTAGGAGTGACGTTTTTGGAAAAAGTGGACCCTTGCCTTTTGGCTGATCCATTTGTGGTTTCAAGATGGGTGAAAAAAGCATTGGGTATAGTGGAATCGGTGAGGGTAACCAGAAGTGGTCTAGTGATAATTGTTTGTGTTTCTGTTGGGCAGAGGGAGAAGGCGCTCAGAGTTAAACAAATGGGGGAAAGAATTGTGAATGGTTTCGCTCTCAAGAAAAGGGCGCCATTGAAAGGAGTGATTTCTGGGGTAGCAGTAAATGTAAAAGTGGACCAACTGAATGGGAAGATTCCCGGTGTTTGTGATGCTCATCGTTTGGTGCGAATCAAACAGGGTGGCGAGAGTGGGGAAACAGAAGAGTCATTGTCTGTTCTTTTCAGTTTTGAAGGTGAGTTTTGCCTGACAAAGTGAAGTTAGGATATATAAATTATCCTGTTCGAGCTTATGTGCCGAATAAATTACGAAGTTACAGGTGTCAAATTTAAGGGCACGTGGCAGCAGAATGTAAGAGGGGGGTTCCAAGGTGTAGTCCCGTGTAGCTCAGTTGCAACGCCAGGGTTGTGGGTTCGTTTCCCACGGGGGACTAGTATGAAAAAAAAAGTATGCACTCACTAACTGTAAATCGCTCTGGATAAGAGCGTCTGCTAAATGACTAAAATGTAAAATGTGTGAGAAGTGTGCAGAAGGGCATGAAACAAAGGAATGTGTAGCATTGGGGAAAGTAGTGGTATGTGCTAATTGTAGGGGTGGCCATGGGGCTGGGGGTCAAAAATGTCCCGTGCGAGAGAGTAGTGAAGAAGTTGTCATATGCTGAGGCAGTGAAGAAAGTAGAATAAGAGAGGTCATTTCTGACCCCCAGCCAGGGGGTGGGGTGGTGAGAGTAGTAGATAATGGTTTGTACCAGTACAGAGGGATAGGCCAACAAGTGATATAGGTTTCAGTAAGATTGTGTTTATAGCAATGGTTATTAATTGTACTGCAGGGATGGAACGTAAATCGAAGAAAATTGAGGTTGTGGTGGCAGCTGCAGAGAGGTATTTGGGTGTGCGAGAAGAAGAGTTACAGTGATTGTTAAGTGGTGATGTCCCATCATTTCATGTTGAGGGCATGAGGTATGAATGAATATATTTAAATAGTGGAGAAGGGTGGTGGTAATTATTAATAATAATTTTGAATTTGTGAGTGTAGTGTTAGATGGTAGGATATTTCTTTATTTTATTTTATTTTTCAAGGAAAATATAAGGGAGTTGTACTCCAGTGTAGTAGGTGGCGGTAAAGGAACAAATTGGATGCCAACCGCCGTTAAAAAAAATGTAACCTCATTGAAGAAGAAGAAATAGAAATCCAGTCCGTGTTTTGTATCTGTGTGCTGACGTGACATTGGCGGTGGCTTGCGGCCACGCAAAACAAAAGGAATTCGGCCGTAATACATCAACGAGGCGTAGCTAGTCAGTCCTTCTCAAATTTCTGCCAATATCTAGGCGTAATTTGGTTTTTGAAGTTTATATATGACTTATTTTGGATTACTTTGTTCTAAATTATTGTTCGATTTCAAATACGTAATGCTATCAATGGCAGTAGCATGAAAAGGTGAGTAGCCGATGCTACTAGCGCGTGCTAGGTTTAATGCTAGTTACCATGTTAGCTAGCTAACGCAATGCTCGCCTTGTTAACATATATTTGCTACATTAATACACGTTGTAATGCCCGGTATAGTTATCAGTTGTTAGTTACCCCTTCTGCTCTAACGTTAGTTTAATGAATATCTCGTGTTGTTGCTAATTAGCGTTAGCTGGCTAGCTAAGCCATGTAGTTAGCCAACTAGTAACGTCATGTCAACAACGCAGAGCTCGCGCACCGCCGTGTAGTTTACTATCAACATTAGGGGAAAGTCTCTGAAGAAGCTATGTACTGTAGCTCGCTAAAAGAATGACTTTACATGTAACTAGTTAGCGAACTAACGTTAGTCAACAGTTAACGTCACTTGACTAAGATGACGTTACAAAATGGATAAGAATTGTGCTTGTACTAACCAGCTGTGGGCTAAAGAGGAGGGGTACCAATCACACGTCATGTCACATGATGATGTTTGATTAATATGATAGTGGTATTGATCACAGTTCCTCCTTGTTCAGGCTTGGATTGAAAGCACAACTCTGTCTCAGAGCTGTAGGGCCCTTGGGGCCCCAGTAGAGGATGCACCGTGGTGTGGACAGGGACTTCCAGACTTCAGCGCGGAGGATGGGTACATCCTTGCTGTTCCAGTTGTCTGTCCATGAGCGTGAACTGGACTTGGTGTTCCTGGACCACAGCTATGCCAAGCCATGGAATGCCCACCCGGACGCCAGCAGTGCCCGGCCCACGCGCATGCTGTTCGTCACACCCCGTCGCCAACCTGATGCCGCTCCGTGAGTGTCAAACTTCATTATCCTCACCAATGACTCATTGCACAAACAATTGTAACAATTTTAAAACGTCTGTCTGTCTCAGAACAAATTGTATTTTGTAGCTTTATCACGACAATAATAAAGTTACAGCTAAAACTGCATGACAGCATTTACTGAAGTATGCTTGGGTTCTTTTGCAGGGAATCAGACCTGTCAATAGATGTGGAATCTGTCACGCCTACACCTATTCCACTCTATGACAATCAGAAAGCACGCAGTGTTATGAAGGAGTGTGAGCGACATGTTTTATTTGCTCGCACAGTTGCCGATGGTCCCCCACCCCCTGATGACTGGGAGGAACACATCAACAAGTGAGTGGCCTCCACCCGACCTCCCTTTGAATAACCCTATTGAGGTTTTAAAAATATATCTATTTTCCGGAAGGACTTATGTGTTGCAAATGCCTTGTTTGCTCAGCTCTTGTGTACACTGTCTTTGTCTCAATCTCCATTGCAAATAGTGATAATCGTCAGACTTCATTACTGATATACACTGCTTGTATTACAGGGCTGGATGGTCGGTCACTCAAAACAAGTTGTTTAATAAGGTGCTGAAGGCTCTGCAAGCTGAAAGACTGGCCCGGCTGGCCAATGAAAACGTGAGTTCATATGCACCACCTAAATGCTTTTGTATGTGGTGTTGATTCAGTTTCAATGACTATCAAAGTTCCTGTACCTCTTGTCTTACCATCCCTTCCTCTGACTCATAGGCCTCCAATGAGCCAGTATTGCGCAGGATTGCTGTAGACAAGTGTGCCCGAAAGGTCCGCCATGCACTGGCCAGTGTCAACTGGGACACCAAATTGACCCAGTGGCTACACAGCACCCTGATAGAATCCCTCAGTCTGGCCATGCTGGCCGCTTACCTAGACGTACTGCAGACACTCAAGAGCAAGGTACTCCTCTCTCGCTGTCTGTCTCTTTCTCTCTCTCAAAATGTGTTTACAAATTATTTGATGTTGTGACACATGCATTCTTATATAGAGGGATACATTATATCACTGACAATCATCAAATCAAGCTTTATTTATACAGCACATTTCAGACATGGAATTCAACACAATGTGCTTAACAGGAAAAAAACAATAAATGAATACTGAAATATTTACTACACAAGAAACATAAGAGGATAAAAAACTAAAGAATAACAATAAAAACGGAACAACTAAAAAGCACCCTAAGGAAAAGCAAAGCTAAAAATGTGTGTTTTTAAGATCTCTTAAAAATGTCCACAGTTTCTGCCCCCCTCAGGTTCTCTGGCAGGCTATTCCAGAGGCTGGGGTCATAGTAACTAAAGGCTGCCTCTTGGTCCTAGGCTTTGGAATAGTTAAAAGGCCAGTGCCAGAGGACCTGAGGGACCTACTGGGTAATTAACTTAAAAGCATGTCTGACATGTATTGGGGTGCACAATTGTGGATTGATTTAAAAACCAATAGAATAATCTTAAAATTAATTCTAAAACTCACAGGAAGCCAGTGCAGAGACCTTAAAACCGGTGTAATGTGTGCTCTCCGTCTGGTCTTGGTCAGTACCTGTGCTGCATCATTCTGAATGTTTTGCAGTTGACCAATGGCTTTCTTGGGTAGACCAGAAAGGAGATCATTACAGTAGTCAAGCCTGCTTGTAATAAAAGCATGGATGAGTCTCTCTGTATCAGCCTGAGAGAGAAATCGTCCTCAGGTGGTAAAAAACTATTTTGGTCACATTCCTAATGTGTGATTCGAAATTGAGTTCAGAATCTAAAATAAGAGGTTTTTTACCTGGTGTTTTATCTTTATTGCCTGTGAATTAAAATGTGCGGCCAGATTCTCTCTGTGCTTTGGCTCCAACAATAAGTACCTCAGTCTTTTCTTGATTTAGCTGGAGGAAGTTGTTAGCCATCCAAGTATTTCAATCATTAATACAGTCTAATAAATTACTCCAACACCATCATTAAGTTTTCCGACGACGATGAGACAGCCTATAGGGAGGAGGTCAGAGACCTGGTCGTGTGGTGCCAGGATAACAACCTCTCCCTCAACGTGGTCAAGACAAAGGAGATGATTGTGGACTACAGGGGGAAAAAAGAGGACTGAGCACGCCCCCATTCTCATCGACAGGGCTGTAGTGGAACAGGTTGAGAGCTTCAAGTTCCTTGGTGTCCACATCACCAACAAACTATCATGGTCCAAACACACCAAGACAGTCGTGAAGAGGGCACGACAAAGCCTATTCCCCCTCAGGAGACTGAACACATTTGGCATGGGTCCTCAGATCCTCAAAGAGTTCTACAGCTGCACCATCGAGAGCAACCTGACTGGTTGCATCACCGCCTGGTATGGCAACTGCTCGGCCTCCGACCGCAAGGCACTACAGAGGGTAGTGCATACGGCCCAGTACATCATTGGGGCCAAGCTTCCTGCCATCCAGGACCTCTATACCAGGCGGTATCAGAGGAAGGCACTAAAAATGGTCAAAGATTCCAGCCACCCTAGTCACCCGGCGCACAGGTCCAAAAGGCTTCTTAACAGCTTGTACCCCCAAGCCATAAGACTTCTGAACAGCTAATCATGGCTACCCGGACTATTTGCATTTGATTTATCCGTGGAGCTAAAATCCTCTGGTGACACAGATGTAAAGTTGTATATCGTCTGCATAGCAGTGAAAACCAATGCTGTGCTTTCTGATAACGCTGCCAAGGGGTAACATATATAAACTGAACAGTACCGGACCCAAAATCGAACCTTGTTTCACGCCATGTGATAACTCAGAGAAAATGCATATGTTCACCAAGGGTTACAATAACTCTTGCCCGTGTAAGTAGGTCTTTAGAACTGGACTGGTTAGGCTAACCCACCTCTCCAGAAGGACATCATGGTCAATAGTGTTGAATGCAGCACTTAAATATGTCTGTGTCAACCAGGGAAAATAAATCCATAATGCCTTTGCGTGGGAGGCTAGGGCACATATTATCAAACTTTTCATCAGGTCTTGCTTGACTGATACCCAGCCTAATGTTTGTTATCTTACCTCTGAAATATGCCGCAAACTCATCACATTTAGATGTGGAGGGAAGTTCATATAGGTTTGCGGGGGTAGGATTTATCAGGCCATTAATGGTCGAGAAGAGCACTCTCAAATTATTCTGATTATTAGTGATCAGGTTAGAAAAATGAGCCCGTCCGGCATTACTAATTGCCTTGATATATATGCCAAGTTGCTCTCTCAGACTATCATAATGGACCTGCAACTTTGACTTTCTCCACTTCTGCTCTGCCTTTCTGTAATTTCTTAAATGTATTAGTTTACCTCACTCATCCAAAGGGCTCTCCGTTTGGATGTGGCTTTTTTCAACTTTACTGGAGCTGTGGCATCAATGGTTGCCCTTAATTTGCTATTAAAGTGATCAACTAAATCAACACAAGGAAGGCAGAATAGGTGGAGTATTGGTCATGCACTTAATAAATCTGTAGCAACTTCAGAGGTATGATAGTGTTTCTTAATAATGCGTTCAGTATTACCCTGTGCTATGGGCAACAAATTAGTAAAAAATACACAGTGGTGATCAGATAAAGAAACATCAACTATAGAGGATATGTCAATAGAAAGCCCCTTGGTAATAATCAGGTCCAGAGTATGGCCTCCCGAGTGGCGCAGTGGTCTAAGGCACTGCATCTCAGTGCTTGAGGCGTCACTACAGACCCCCTGGTTCGATTCCAGGCTGTATCACAACTGGCCGTGATTGGGAGTCCCATAGGGCGGCGCACAATTGGCCCAGCGTCGTCCGGGTTTGGCCGGTGTAGGCCGTCATTGTAAATAAGAATTTGTTCTTAACTGATTGCCTAGTTAAATAAAGGTTAAATAAAAAAAAATGGCCAGGATGACTCACCATCTCTATCTGTACAGTTGCCCTCGCTGATTGACAGGATGCTGATGACTTCATCAGTGAAGACTGGAGCAGCCGGTGCAGAGGCCCTCTCTCTGCTCCTGAAGAGGCCCTGGGACCCTGCTGTGGGCGTTCTGTCTCACAACAAACCGGTACGTCTCTAATGCTAATCCCTGTCTGTGGTACTGGGAGCAATCAGAATTCACTGCAGTCAGAATGAATAAGACAATGGAAACAGGCACACATTCCAAATGGTAGTAGGGATGAAATTGATAGTTGTGGCAGTAAGCACTTAGTAGTTTAATCTTTATACTGTTTTATATGCCTAACAATTACTTTGGCCATTCTTAAAGGATAAGTTTTATTTTTTACAACCAAATCTCTATTTGTGATGTAAATGGAATGTTATAGAACGGTCCAGACAATTTTTTTTGTGATTTCACTTGTTTTTGAGAAACTTACCCCAAACAGCAAATCACTCCCTCGTCCTTGTTGTGCAGTATGGGTCCCCTGAAAAAGAACATGAAAAAAGGCTATTAAAAAAAGACATCCTTTCAGAAACAGGTCTTTAGCTGTTGTACACATGAAATTGTCATTCAGAACTTTATCTGTAATTTGATATACCATTTTGTGCGACTCAAGCTCTTTTCCCAACGCAGCTGTGCAGGCCGGGTGTGTTCGTGTAGTATACGGTACATCTAAAGACCTGCATCACTATATTGAGAGCGTTTCTAAAAGACGTATTTGGGTGTTTTTGGAGCCTTTGTTCATGTTTTTTCAGGGCCCCAATACTACACAACGAGGATGAGGAAGTGATTTGCTATTTGGGGTATGTTTCTCAAAAACAAGTGAAATCACAAAGGTGTCTGGACCCTTCTATAACATGCCATTTACATGGTTGTACAAATTAAAGTAAACAAATTCTACTTGAATGCTTCTGTATTGACTTGGGATCCTTTGATTGCATTTCCTATTGATTTGATAATGACTGGATGCCTATTTATGTATTTGTTTGTATTGCAGAGCAAGCTTCCTGGCTCCCCACTCATCTTAATTGCACCATCAGGGCCCACCAATCCTGCTCTTTCTACCTCGCGCCGAATTAGATTTTGGCAGTCACAGCTCTCCTGCTTGGGAAAGGTTTGTATCTATTCATTCTCAAGTGTGACTGTGCATCACTACGTTTTATACACGTCAAATAGGTATAAACCAACATGTGTGTCTGTCTCAGGTAATCCCGGTAAATACCCATGTAAACAGTGGAGCCAATGTGGGCATCACTCAGTGTCTGGAGCACATGTTGGGCACTGTCAGGGCCAAAGTCATGGAGGTAAGGCTGTTATATGAACCTGAAGTTGTGTAGCCAGATACAGTGAGGGGAAAAAAGTATTTGATCCCCTGCTGATTTTGTACGTTTGCCCACTGACAAAGACATGATCAGTCTATAATTTTAATGGTAGGTTTATTTGAACAGTGAGAGACAGAATAACAACAAAAAAATCCAGAAAACACATGTCCAAAATGTTATACATTTATTTGCATTTTAATGAGGGAAATAAGTATTTGACCCCTCTGCAAAACATTACTTAGTACTTGGTGGCAAAACCCTTGTTGGCAATCACAGAGGTCAGACGTTTCTTGTAGCTGGCCACCAGGTTTGCACACATCTCTGGAGGGATTTTGTCCCACTCCTCTTTGCAGATCTTCTCCAAGTCATTAAGGTTTCGAGGCTGACATTTGGCAACTCGAACCTTCAGCTCCCTCCACAGTTTTTCTATGGGATTAAGGTCTGGAGACTGGCTAGGCCACTCCAGGACCTTAATGTGCTTCTTCTTGAGCCACTCCTTTGTTGCCTTGGCCGTGTGTTTTGGGTCATTGTCATGCTAGAATACCCATCCACAACCCATTTTCAATGCCCTGGCTGTGGGAAGGAGGTTCTCACCCAAGATTTGATGGTACATGGCCCTGTCCATCGTCCCTTTGATGCGGTGAAGTTGTCCTGTCCCCTTAGCAGAAAAACACCCCCAAAGCATAATGTTTCCACCTCCATGTTTGACGGTGGGGATGGTGTTCTTGGGGTCATAGGCAGCATTCCTCCTCCTCCAAACACGGCGAGTTGAGTTGATGCCAAAGAGCTCAATTTTGGTCTCATCTGACCACAACACTTTCACCCAGTTCTCCTCTGAATCATTCAGATGTTCATTGGCAAACTTCAGACGGGCCTGTATATGTGCTTTCTTGAGCAGGAGGACCTTGCGGGTGCTGCAGGATTTCAGTCCTTCACGGTGTAGTGTGTTACCAATTGTTTTCTTGGTGACTATGGTCCCAGCTGCCTTGAGATCATTGACAAGATCCTCCCGTGTAGTTCTGGGCTGATTTCTCACCGTTCTCATGATCATTGCAACTCCACGAGGTGAGATCTTGCATGGAGCCCCAGGCCGAGGGAGATTGACAGTTCTTTTGTGTTTCTTCCATTTGCGAATAATCGCACCAACTGTTGTCACCTTCTCACCAAGCTGCTTGGCGATGGTCTTGTAGCCCATTCCAGCCTTGTGTAGGTCTACAATCTTGTCCCTGACATCCTTGGAGAGCTCTTTGGTCTTGGCCATGGTGGAGAGTTTGGAATCTGATTGATTGATTGCTTCTGTGGACAGGTGTCTTTTATACAGGTAACAAGCTGAGATTAGGAGCACTCCCTTTAAGAGTGTGCTCCTAATCTCAGCTCGTTACCTGTATAAAAGACACCTGGGAGCCAGAAATCTTTCTGATTGAGAGGGGGTCAAATACTTATTTCCCTCATTAAAATGCAAATCAATTTATAACATTTTTGACATGTGTTTTTCTGGATTTTGTTGTTGTTATTCTGTCACTCACTGTTCAAATAAACCTACCATTAAAATTATAGACTGATCATTTCTTTGTCAGGGGATCAAATACTTTTTTCCCTCACTGTATCTGTTCCTAATGGACTAGGTCAGTGGTATTCAAACTTTTTCAGCAGGGACCACATTTTTTCCCCCCCAAAGAATTTCTCACGACCCCACACCACCCCAACTCAAATTACCCAACTGTACAATTTATTGCATTTTCATCTCTTATGAAAATAAACCAATAAATACATTTACTCAATACAATTATTTTTCAAATCATCTTTCTGAAAACCTTTGTGTATTGTCCTGTACAATAATCTGCATTCGGGAAGAAAGAAAATTGTTGGGGCGACCACACTGCATTTCCCCTGTCTTTGAATTCCACTGGACTAGATTGTTGCTGCTATTTCAGATGGTTCTTTGAAAGTTATGTGCCATGCTGTCTATTTGTCTATTTATTTGCCGTTCAATGTATTTATGCACCAGGTCCACAGTCACTTCCCTCACAAACCCATTATCCTGGTTGGCTGGAATGTGGGAGCGCTCATCGCCTGTCATGTAAGGCTGCTGTATGACTGCTGTCTGTCTACTACATGGTATCAACATTTTTTAAGAGTGTTCTCTGGGATGCTCAGAAAGTTATACAGTGCCTTCAGAAACTATTCACACCCCTTGACTTTTTCCATATTTTTGTTGTTACAAAGTGTGATTTAAAATGGATTTAATTGTCTATTTTTGTTTTTTTTTAATCATGAAAAATAATACACTAATATACTGTATCTTGATTAGATAAGTATTTAACCCCCTGAGTCAATACATGTTAGAATCACCTTTGTCAGCGACTACAGCTGTGTGTCTTTATGGGTAAGTCTCTATAGCCTTCCACACCTGGATTGTGCAACATTTACCAATTTATTCTTAAAGAAATTCTTCAAGCGCTGTCAAGTTGGTTGTTGATCATTGCTAGACAACAATTTTCAGGTCTTGCCATAGATTTTCAAGCTGATTTAAGTCAAAACTGTAACTCAGCAATTCAGGAACATTCACTGTCTTCCCGGTAAGCAACTTGTGTAGATTTGGCCTTGTGTTTTAGGTTATTGTCCTGCTGATAGGTGAATTCATCTCCCAGTGTCTGGTGGAAAGCCAACTGAACAAGGTTTTCCTCTAGGATTTTGCCTGTGCTTAGCTCCATTCAGTAAATTTTTTTATCCTGAAAAACTCCCCAGTCCTTAATGATTACAAGCATACCCATAACATGATGCAGCCACCACTATGCTTGATAATATGGAGAGTAGTACTCAGTAATGTTGTATTGGATTTACCCCAAACATAGCACTTTGTATTCAGGACAAAAAGTTAATAAATTGTTTTGCCACATTTTTTGCAGTATTTAGTGCGTTGTTGCAAACAGGATGCATGTTTTGAAATATTTGTTCTCTACAGGTTTCCATCTTTTCACTCTGTCAATTAGCTTAATATTGTGGAGTAACTACAATGTTGTTGATCCATCCTCCGTTTTCTCCTTTCACAGCCATTAAACTCTGTAACTGTTTTAAAGTAACTATTGGCCTCATGGCGAAATCCCTGAGCGGTTTCATTCCTCTCCGGCCACTGAGGAAGGACGCCATGCTCAAAGGGATATTCAATGTATTTTATTTATTTTTTACACATCTACCAATAGGTGCCCTTCATTGCAAGTTATTGGAAGACCTCCCTGGTCTTTGTGTTTGAAATTCACTGCTCGACTGAGGGGCCTAACAGATAATTGTATGTGTAGGGGTACAGAGATGAGCTATTCATAAAAAAATCACGTTGAACACTATTATTGCACAGTGAGTCCATTCAACTTATTATGTGACTTGTTAGGCAAATGTTTACTCCTGAACTTATTTAGGCTTGCCATAACAGCGTGGTTGAATACTTATTGACGCAAGACATTTCAGCTTTTCATTTGTAATTAATTTGTAAAATTAAATTAAAAAAAACATAATTCCACTGACATTATGGGGTATTGTGTGTAGGCCGGTGACAAAAATTGGGCTGTAACACAACAAAATGTGGAAAAAGTCAAGGTGTGAATACTTTCTGAACATCTGCTGGTTATTGAAAACAATCATTGTGGAATCTGAACTCTGATCTGTGTTGTGATTGGTGGATGTGATGTTGGTGCACTGCACATATTGACGTGGTTGTCCTCTCCCAGGTCTCTCTCATGGAATACCTGACTGCTGTGGTGTGTCTTGGCTTTCCCCTGCTAACCATCAATGGACCAAGAGGGGTAAGGAAATAAGCTAAAATGTTTGTCTTGCATTGTGGAGACATTTAGATATGATACTTCTACTCGTCTTACACAGATCAACATAATTTTGCCACAGGTCTGTGGATCTTAGATGTGTATTGACTGTTTTTGTGTTGTTGACTGGCAGGATGTGGACGACCCCTTGCTAGACATGAAGACACCAGTGCTGTTTGTGGTTGGTCAGAATGCTCTGCAGTGTGGCACCGAGGCCATGGAGGAGTTCCGAGAGAAACTCCGGGCCGACAACAGCATGGTGGTGGTGGGGGGAGCCGACGACAACCTCAGGTGGGTTTTGCTCTAGGACTGGGAATTGCCAGGAACCTCACGAAACAATATTATCATGATACTTAGGTACCCATATGATATGTAATGCAATTCTATGTGAATCACGATTTTTTGTTTTGCGATTCCATGTTCCAAACATATTGCTCACTATATGTATTTTTAAGATGGAAGGGTAGCAGCAGTTGAAAGCATTCAGTCATTGAATGTTTTCTCGTGAAGACAAAAGGCCTGAAATTGTCACTGCTCGCTGTCATTTTCTGCAGTGCAATTAAATTGAAGAATTTGAGGGCATCAGTTTGTTTCTCATTCCTGATTTAAATGGTTTTCTTCCGCAGAATCAACTCCACAAAGATGAAATCAGAGGGACTGACACAGACCATGGTGGATCGATGCATTCAGGTTGGTCAATGTCGCTCGTCTTGTAAAGGAGCCATAGTGTGTTTATTCAAACAAATGTAGGTGAAGTCTATGAAAACGTCAAAAGATTTAAAGAATTAAACCCTAGCCATCAAACTCACATGGAGTGTCAGTGAAATGCTTTTCATGCAGATATACGTCTGTCTCTCCTGTGTAGGATGAGATAGCAGACTTCCTGTCGGGGGTGCTGACACGGGCGGAGAGCCATGGCCATGGCTCAGGAGAGTTGAGGGACCTGGACACGGAGAAGAAGAAGAAGCCCAGACGGGAGCTGCCCTTTGACCTGGAAAGGGGTCGCCCCTCCTCCCCTGCCCTCAGAGTACCCATCTCCCCCTCAGGCTCCGAGGTACGTCCTGCATCAGCTCAGGCACGCTCCGGAAGACATGCAAGGAAATTCTAGGAATAATATACATTACTGATCATTTGATTGGCTACGTTTTATGGTTGTTTCCTCAGGACCTGTCCAGTGTGTGTAGCAGTCCCACCTCCAGCCCCAAGCCAAAGACGTCGGGACTGTCCCCAGCACAGAAGTCCAGTCTGATCACTGCCACACAACTCCTCAAGACCCATATGCAGCGGTCTGGGACTGTGCTCACACACAAGCAGGCACAAGGTTTGTGTGCCAACTAGCATGTACAAAAACAGACGCAGACACACACACCACAGCTCTCACATTTGAAACATTTGTTTGTGTGAGCTTGATTTAATGAGTCATTTAACTCACTTGCCAATGGGTTTTTCAATAGCTCTGTGGGCTTGGGAAGATGTGAATGCGATATTGAATGGTGAAAATGGTTTACTTCGACATTGATCTTGTTAGGGCAGTCACGACAACACAAGGGCACAATGGAACGTGACTATCTTTTTATCCCTTTTCTTCTCTCTTTCGACTATCCTTCCACCTTTCTTTTCAATTAATTTCAGCCCAGTTTGCTGCTTTTATGAAACAAAACATGCTTGTGAGGAAAAATCTTCCTCCTGGCACTCCCTCCTGTATCTTTGGTAAGTATGTCTTTCTCCTCTCTTTTCTCGTCTTTTCTGTCTGCAATCTCCGTCTTACTGCCAGATCATTGATGTACATTGTTTACAGGGTCATATAAAAATTTTAAGTGAGCATTATACATACACTGAAAAATATATAAACGCAACATGCAACAATTTCAAAGATTTTACTGAGTTACAGTTCACATAAGGAAATCGGTCAATTGAAATAAATTCATTAGGCCCAAATCTATGGCTTTCACATGACTGGGAATACAGATATGCATCCGTTTCCTTAAAAAAAAAAAGAGGGGCGTGGATCAGAAAACCAGTCAGTATCTGGTGTGACCACCATTTGCCTCATGCAGTGCGACACATCTCCTTCGCATAGAGTTGATCAGGCTGTTGATTGTGGCCTGAGGAATGTTGTCCCACTCCTTTTCAATGGCTTGCTGGATAGTGGCGGGAACTGGAACACGCTGTCATACACGTCGATCCAGAGCATCCCAAACATGCTCAATGGGTGACATGTCTGGTGAGTATGCAGGCCATGGAAGAACTGGGACATTATCAGCTTCCAGGAATTGTGTACAGATCCTTGCGACATGGGGCTGTGCATTATGCTGAAACATGATGTGATGGCAGCGGGTGAATGGCACGACAATGGACCTCAGGATCTCATCACGGTATCTCTGTGCATTCAAATTGCCATCGATAAAATGCAATTGTGTGTGTTGTCTGTAGCGTATGCCTGCCCATACCATAACCCCACCACCAGCATGGGGCACTCTGTTCACAACGTTGACATTAGCAAACCGCTCGCCCACACAACGCAATACACACTATCTGCCCGGTACAGTTGAAACCGGGATTCATCCGTGAAGAGAACACTTTTCCAGGGTGCCAGTGGCCATCGAGGGTGAGCATTTGCCCACTGAAGTCGGTTACGACGCCGAACTGCAGTCAGGTCAAGACCCTGGTGAGGACGACGAGCACACAGATGAGCTTCCTTGAGACGGTTTCTGACAATGTGTAGAAATTCTTCGGTTGTGCAAATCCAGTTTCATCAGCTGTCCGGGTGGCTGGTCTCAGACAAACCCACAGGTAAGAAGCCGGATGTGGAGGTCCTGGGCTGGTGTGGTTACACGTGGTTGTGAGGCCGATTGGACATACTGCCAAATTCTCTAAAATGACGGAGGTGGCTTATTCATTCAATTCTCTGGCAACAGCTCTGGTGGACATTCCTGCAGTCAGCATGCCAATTGCACGCTCACTCAACTTGAGTCATCTGTGGCATTGTTGTGTAACACAACTGCACATAGAGTGGCCTTTTATTGTCTCCCGCACAAGGTGCCTCTGTGAAATGATCATGCTGTTAATCAGTTTCTTGATATGCCACATCTATCAGGTGGATGGATTATCTTGGCAAAGTAGAAATGCTAACAGGGATGTAAATTCGCGCACATAATTTGTGAGAAATATGCTTTTTGTGCATATGGACAATTTCTGGGATCATTTATTTCAGCTCATGAAACATGGGACCAACACTTTACATGTTGCATTTATATTTTTTGTTCAGTATAGTTCAATATTCCACACTTGTATACTTTGACAAGTGAATTTGTGATCAGGGTTGGAGTGGTCTGGTCTGTTTATCCCAGTCAGTGATGTGCTGTGTGTCTGTGTTTCAGTGCCTGTATCCAGTGAGCAGACAGAGGGCCTGGAGAGAGACGAGCTGCGGGCCCATCTGAAGAGGAGGCAGACTCCCAGCCCGACTCCCACCAAGGCCTCCAAGAGAGCCAAGATTAAGGTGACCATTCTGCATGGAGAGACAGCAGGGGGCTCTGTCAGCTCTATAGCACAGGAAGGTAACTGGCTCAGATTTAACTATGAGCAATTTTCTGCACCTCTAAATGAATGATCGATTTAAAGAGAAATTAGAAGTTGTTGCCAAATGAATTGAAATATGTGTGGGGCTTATCTGAATTTGTATCATATTTTCTTATTTCCACCATTTCAAAACTCATTAGCAACCATTTTCAATGTTATAGTGTGGTGTTATCCGATCAGATTTGGCTTATTTTCTTCTTTGTCTGTGTTCTAATGCAGGGGGTCCTTCTGGGAAGCCCCTGGCTGTGACTGTGGGACAGACTGTGTCTGGAGCCAAGGAACTCTCTGGACTCCTCACATCCCAGCGGTAGGCCTGACACACACAATGATCTCCAACTCTCCAAACGATCTCCCGTTGGGCAGTGCTGTGTGCTGCAAACAGATTGCGTTTTGGACTCTGGTTGGAAGTTGTTGAATAGAAGAAAAAAAACTGGGGTGGGTAGCTACCACAGCTCTGGTTATGTGTGTTACTGCAGGTCTGGTAGTCTGACAGAGATGTCTAGTGCCCTGAGCTCGGGGTCCAGCTCTTTCCACAACCTGCAGAGTTGCATGGTGTCAGGGTCCTCCTCACCAGTCCAGGCGCAAGCTCCTGCCCAAGGTATCTCCTACCTGCCTGCACGACTGTCCTAACTCGGCACAGCAGCAGATCTCGCAGATGACAGTCTAAACACTGAACTACAACCAAAAATGTTGTACAGTATATTTTCACAGATTTGTTAGTTGTAATGCAGAGGATCAGCAAATCCATCACACATTTAAAAAGTAGGGAGTTCTGTTGTATGTCCTGATTTTAAGCACTTCATGTGAACAACCAATCTGAGCAAACAAATGTTATTGATCACTTGTAGCGTTACTTCTGCGAAATCTCTGGAAGCTTAACCGTTGGACTTTTCTACCAGAGGTTGTTTTGTCGACTGGACAAATAGGGGTGGATCTCAACTGTCATCACCAGTAGTTGTTGTTGAGCCTCCAGTATTGACTGTGTGTAAATGTATGCAGTGCTGATTCATTCTCGCTGTGTTTGTGTGCAGCACCTTCCGCCAGCAGTCTCCTCCAAGGCCTAAGTTTCAGTCTTCAGGAGATCGTGACCAAATCCCCTAGCCTGCCTACCACAACAGCTAGCATGGGCAGCATTCAGGTACACCCTGGCCTTCTCTCATAAACCTGCAAAAAGTCTACTCTCAGTAATGTGAGTTTGTCTGTGTGTGCTGACTCATTGTCTGACTGACTCCACTTCTCCTCTCCCCCCCAGGCCTCCGGTGGGAAGCCCCAGGGTCAGGTCCTTAGCTCCATAGGTACTGGCAGCAGCACTCTGCTCCGGGCAGTGCCTGTGGTTTCCACTGGAGGGCTGACCAAGACCACTGCCATCCACCAGTTACTCGCCAATGGCGGGCTGGCCAAGCTGGCGAGCAGCCTCCCCGGCCTGGCACACATCTCCACCCAGAGTGCCGGTACGTCCCGAACTGCCAAACCACGGCGGCCACGCTGAATGCCCAGGGTTCTCTTTAACCCCTTGATTTTCGGAAAAGCTAGAATAGCAGGACGGGCCCTATCGCCAGGTCACCTTGGCCACACTACAGATAGGTGACCGAGATATAGTGGCCAGCATGATCAATAATGTGTATACAGATAGTCATCCATGAGGATCCTAGGTGTATCTGAAAGGCCAGACTTGCAGCCGTGTAACATCGTAGTGTACAGATTTGTATCATAAGGGATGATGTGTATTTGTACTAATGTTCATGTTTGGAAAGAGCCATAAGGGAAAACATCAATGAATACATGATCCAGATGAATGTGACATTGGAATTAGCAGTTTGATGAAGTCAAGTTTAATAGATATTGTTTATGTATCAATGGAAGTCTACACATGTCAAATGTAAATGTTCAAAATGCTTACTTGAGAATCATTGAATATGTTCATATTTGCCTGACGTTTCCTTGAATACATGGAACTCTTTGATACAAAATTGATGTCACAATAATTGTGAATCGAGGGCCAAAAATTAATGGAAATTCTTGCATTTTGGCGTTTTGAATATCGACTAAATGTCACATGACAACGTCAATGGCCCTGTTCAGACTGCATTTGTTCACCAGATCTGTCCACTCGATAGATGCCTTTTTATGTTTGTTTCATTTTGATTGCTTGGTCTTCATGTTACAACATTTTGTAAATCCATTCATTAAATGACCTGCAACGAGCACGCAGCAGCCATGATTCCAGATGCACACAAGGACCCATGGACCCACTGGACTTTGTAGAGAGGAAGGAATATGAGGAGAAGCAGCAATAATATTCACATCCGGCATACCACCTCTGTTTCTATCATTGCAATAAAGACTGGAAAATAACCCATGTTTTCATTCCTCTTTTTTGATCAAGAAATGGGTGTTGCTGTTGCGATATCCAAGTCGTCCACTCCTTCCCCAGGATTGCTGTTGTCTTTGATGGCTTCTTTTTTGTAATTCTGTGCAAAATTCAAACCTGGATTAATTAATAATCATTTACGCTAAGAGTAAAACGGTACTCATCTCTCTCTAGTATCTACATCTCCTGACATGGACTATTCTTACCATTGAGAAAAGCAAGCCAGACATGACAATACAGGCAAAACACAAAAGAAGCCCTTGGGCACTGAGTTATATTTTTAGAACTATTTAATCTGATTTAGATGTTTTATTTTTTTACTCATTGGATTAGCACACACTGCTGGACACCCGCTATTCAGGAATGTCAGTTGGAATCTTGTCCGCTTTGCTGTGTCTGAGGGAAAATGCTGTCTGAACTAGGCTTGACACCAAGCTCTAGTATAAATATCTGAGTAGATGTGTAACCCATGCCATCACTGTTTGTTGGCAGCAGGGCTCAGGGCCCCCACCATTATAACTGTGATGCTGCGAGGACAGCCCAGCAGAATGACTGCGCTGGGCCAGGCTGGGAGGGCACTGATGCTGTCCAATCCACCTGATATGAAGGTGGGTCTCCTCACAAGCAGCAATATTTTAACTTCTCCATCACATATTTTCTAAAATGAAGATTTGTTTTCAAATCAATATCCTCTATTGCAGTGATGAACCCAAAGACTGCATCATGTCAGATGCCAGATGTGATACCGTCATCCTGGAGGAGCGACTGGACGGGCTATGATCCAACTCCACAGAAAGGGAGTGTAGCCATGTACCTCCTGCCCTTATGTCTATTCTCTCCCCAATGCAACAGATGATCACTTAGCAAAGTGTTCCTTCCCCGTGGTTTGAGTTGACTTGTGTAGTGGACTAGTCTCCATGCTGCAGGAAACTTCATCAGCCATATGTATGGTCACACTCATTTCAGTTAAGAGTTGAAGTTGAGGGTATAAAATATTGAAGGTATTTTATTTTTGTCACAAGGTCTCAGTTGACCCTTTTTTGTAACCCTCAGCATCATTGAATAGGATTACTCTGACTTATAAGCAATGGATAATGTAAAACAGCCATATGATAGTTGTATATGTGTAGAGGAGAAAATATTGTAATTATGTTACCCGTTATGTTTTCTTGAGCTTTTGGTCTTTAAATTAAGCCTGTCTTTGGAGAACATTGCTACAGGTGTTTTCTATATGCTTTGTTCTGTAACTTTGTTTGGATCCAGTTAGGTCAATGGATTTCTAATTTGACCATCTCATGGGAGGAATTATGCTAGGTGGAATTTTACAGCTGATATTGTTTCATGTTTAATTAAAGCCTTTTGGCCTGGCAAGATGTTTCAAAAGCCGAACCATGGAATTGATTTCTCAATTAATGTTCAGAAAAATATTTTATTTGGCGTGACATTGATCATGTTTATTTGTAGGTGGACGACTCCTGTGTTAAAAATGTGAATTTACAGATCTACATTTATAAACATTTTACTTTTAAATGGAACAAGAGTGTGGTTCTCTCCAGGAGTCCTTACCTTTCAGTAATGTAATCAAGAGAAAGAAATCTTCACAACTGTAATTTTCAAAAGGTGTTTGTCTAAATTATATTTAGAATGTTATATCCAAAGTTCTGCGGCTGGCGGATTGTAATGATAATGCTGGCACCATAATTTGGGGCTTTTCATGTAAGTTTGAATAGCTCATAATTAGCTGTTAGTGAAGAATTGAACAAGCACATCATCTCCATACCTTATTCCAATTCAGAATACAATGATTGAACTGTCTCCAGAGCACTGAATTACATTTGCTTTAAATTATGTGAGTACATAATCAGTCTCTCAAAGGCAGCTGCATTAATATAGGCCTACTCATTTCAGCAGACATCCTCTGCACTGTGTCTGCATTACACACATGGGTAACGGTCAGACAAGATAGAGGACAAGTGTGTTTTAGGTTTTAGCTCTTATATAAGCCAAGCTTTGTCTGATAAGCAGGGGATACATATGCTCGTCAGGAAGATAGCCAGAGGCCGCTGTCAACTAAATTCCCCACAGTTCATGTCCATTCCTTCAGCGACCCATGATGAGAAATCTCATATTCACACTCTCCAGTATGGAACTTCTACTGTAACACTACATGAGTCGTTGTCCTATTGGAAGGTGAACCTTCGCCCCAGTCTGAGGTCCTGAGCGCTCTGGAGCATTTTCATCAAGGATCTCTGTACTTTGCTCTGTTCATCTTTCCCTCGATTCTGACTAGTCTCCCAGTCCCTGCCGCTGAAAAACATCCCCACAGCATGATGCTGCCACCACCATGCTTCACCGTAGGGATGGTGCCAGGTTTCCTCCAGACGTGACGCTTAGCATTCAGGCCAAAGAGTTCAATCTTGGTTTCATCAGACCAGAGAATCTTGTTTCTCATGGTCTGAGAGTCATTTAGGTGCCTTTTGGCAAGCTCCAAATGGGCTGTCATGTGCCTTTTACTGAGGAGTGGCTTCTGTCTGGCCACTACCATAAAGGCCTGATTGGTGGAGTGCTGCAGAGATGGTTGTCCTTCTGGAAGGTTCTCCCATCTCCACAGAGGAACTCTTGAGCTCTGTCAGAGTGACCATCGGGTTCTTGGTCACCTCCCTGACCAAGGCCCTTCTCCCCCGATTGCTCAGTTTGGCCGGGCGGCCAGCTCTAGGAAGAGTCTTAGTGGTTCCAAACATCTTCCATTTAAGAATGATGGATGCCACTGTGTTCTTGGGGACCTTCAAAGCTACAGAAATGTTTTGGTACCCTTCCCCAGATCTGTGCCTCGACACAATCCTGTCTTGGAGTTCTATGGACAATTCCTTTGACCTCATGGCTTGGTTTTTGCTCTGACATGCACTGTCAACTGTGGGACCTTATATAGACAGGTATGTGCCTTTCCAAATCATGTCCAATCAATTGAATTTACATTTTAGTCATTTAGCAGACGCTCTTATCCAGAGCGACTTACAGTTAGCGCATACATTATTTTATCGAACCCACAACCCTGGCGTTGCAAACGCCATGCTCTACCAACTGAGCTACATCCCCTGCCGGCCATTCCCTCCCCTACCCTGGACGACGCTGGGCCAATTGTGCGCCGCCCCATAGGTCTCCCGGTCGCGGCCGGTTACGACAGAGCCTGGATTCGCACAGCTAGCACTGCGATGCAGTGCCTTAGACCACTGCGCCACTCGGGAGATTAGGGTTTACCACAGGTGGACTCCATTCAAGTTGTAGAAACATCTCAAGGATGATCAATGGAAACAGGATGCACCTGAGCTCAATTTCGAGTCTCATAGCAAAGGGTCTGAATACTTATGTAAATATGGTATTTTTTTAATTTATTTTTTATACATTTGCAAAAACTTCCAAAAAATTGTTTTAGCTTTGTCATTAAGGGGTATTGTGTGTAGATTGATGAGGATTTGTATTTATTTAATCCATTTTAGAATAAGGCTGTAACGTAACAAAATGTGGAAAAAGTCAAGGGGTCAAGCTCTGTCTCAAACACACTGAAATGGCAGATTTTTTAAACACGGCTCAGCAGTCACCTTTCAGTGTAAATGGAAGCATTTCCTGTCTGTTCTAAACTATTTGAATTTTTTTTTTTAAACGGCCAAATTTGCTCTCCTTGGTTGCTTTCCAGTTTTTTTTTTTACCAAAAAGTCAGACGCAATTTCATCATGATCTTTGTGTCAAAAGGATACTTTTATTTAGTCAACACAGCTCCATCCTGTTCACTCCCAAAACTCTGAGATGAGACACATGACAGATGTGCTTACTCAGCTAATCTCAACTCATCTCTAGTTTCAGTGGAAAAAGGAGTACACTAAAAGTTACCTAATCTATGTGTTTTTGCAAACTTTGAATAATGTAGTAGTAGGCCTATGATTACACAAAGAATGAGGGTTGGGAAAGCTTTCCCTGGAACTTGACATTGAAACTGACCTTTTAGCAGTGATGCCACTTCATCAACAAGATACAGCAGGCAGCTAAACCAGCATTTGACCAAGGATTCTGGGGAGTTGGGTGGGCAGTTAGTTAGGAAATGATCGGTCTGCAGCATTGTGTTTAATTATTCCTGTATTGAATATTTGGTGCAAGTTTTTAATTATATATATATATATATATATATATATATATATATATATATATATATATATATGTGATAGAAATGAAAATAATCCAATAATCAGATTACGTTACTGATTTATTGTCATGCCCTTTTAGGGTTTATTCACAATCACATACACATTAAAATAATGTAATCATTCTTCATGTTTACTTTTAGATAAATCAATGAGTGAATTTCCATAACTGTAGTGTAAAATTTGATAATTCCATGTGTTGGCAACAGGTGGCGCTTAACTCAATAAAAACCATTGCTGTTTTAACCTATATTTAAAATGATACACAGTATGAATTATAACTCCATTTTATTTTAACATTTTATTTATTTTTATCTCTAATTGTGTCATAGTTGGATATCTAATGAAGTGATGATACTGTTCAAGAGGCTGTGATAATGGTCACTAGATTTGTACCTTGCGTCTGTTGTAGGGGAACCCTGTCTGACAATGTCAACCAGGAATAAAAGTGTATGTGTGTGTTGACTATGAGAGCAGAGAGAGGGGCATGATGATACACAAAATGTAACTTTGGTGATTCGTAACTTTAGAATGATGATGGATTTGAGATTATACTGACTCTCAAATCACATAAAAAGAATACACTTTGAACCGTAGGTATCATAAGAATGATGCTCTTCATTTTCCAGGATATTGTCCATGCACGCACATTTCGAGATCTTGTGCTGTGTTGTAATTAAATGCTTTGGCAAAATGTAATATTTGTTTAAACACATTGTAACAATTGAAAGACTTTCAAGAAGGTATAAACATACATTCAGTTTAGGGGTTATCATTTTATATAGGCTAAGAAAGTATTTTCCCATTGCCGTGGCCCCTCTCCAGACATACCAACGTGATGATGTGCCACGATCACCGAAGTTTGCTGGCAAATGCACTAGCCGGGAGCACGGCTAGGGGAGCGAATCACTGCCCCAGAATGAAGACATTGTGGAGAGGCTGAGCTCTGATTTTAAACCCGCCCTCCGGAGAGATCTCATTTCCCCCAAAACCTCCCATTTTCTCTCTCTCTCTCGTTCCTCTTTTTCTTTACCTCTTATTTCTCGTATTTTGCTGTACCCCTCACTCACGAATCATGGATCTCACAACGAGATGTTTGTTTCTTCTATCCTGCCTTTGCATGATATCGGCGATCGATTTAGAAGCAATAGAAACAAGCTACTATGTGGAGCCCACTGCCACCTCAGATGTGATCGACTATAAGGATCCCTGTAAAGCTGGTAAGCTTTCAGAATGCTATTTATCTAATATTTGGACTTAAAACATGCCACGAAATGCTTTTGTGTGTTTGGAAGTGAGGGAAATGCATTTGGAGATGACAGCTTTGAATCGGGTTTTAAAGGGGATTTTTTATGATTCTTTAGTTTTTACCTATTGTCATAGTTTTGCTGTTGTACACATGATTGAACACAGTAACATACTGTCGGCATAGCTGGTGGTGGAAAGATGGCACTCGTGGAAATAAAATGAGGACATCAATGTCATTTCCCAGGGTACAATTTTCAAAGCATGGAAAAAAAAAAAGTTTGGAATTTTTACTAGAAGAACATAATGGAAAATGTTATTAGTTTAAAAGTTCCGGCATATCTTTATCTATAGTTAAGAGTATCTTTTCATTTATGATCTGACTGTGTAGTTGTCAAAAATATGGCATTTTTAGAATAGCCTATTTAATCAAATGTATGGCTTAACTTGGAAGATTCATTTGGATAGCACCAAATCATCACCCATTGAACTGTCGGTTGAAACTATTAAAATCCTTGCTACCGATCTTACATTTACTTAGGCTTTGTAGGCCTTGGTCGTGAAGAAAAACACTGCAGTCTACTATGTTATTATGAGGCTCTTGTGTTCCCCACCTGGTTTTGTCATTGCGCAAAATGACGTGCATTTACTTCACCGGCTGTTCACGCGACCACTGAAAACAAGCGGGGTTCTGTAGGCTACACATGGGGAGAAACGTTTTGCAACGAAAACGACAGTTTCTATTGGACAAATGCAGGTAGGCCCCTCCCCTTTTCGTTCCGTTTGGTTCAATTTGGCTCCTAGTGAATACACCCCGGATCTATTTAATCCTCATGTATGAATGATCTCCACTTCTGACCCCTCTAAAACCCATTAGACCCATATTGTATGTGTTCTTCTAATTATATCTTGGCTGTTATCTGCAAGTTTCCTTGGACATTGCTCTCATTGTCATGGGCCTTCTTCTCCCATAGCCTAGGTTGCAGGGGTCCTTATTCATAATCCAGACAATAAGTGAAGCCTAATTAAACTAAATCAATACATTTGGATTAGCTACATCCAGTTCTGTTGAAGTATTGGATTGCACCATTCCCTGTATAGCTGATTTCTCCAAAT